ATTGGTTTTTATTTAAAAACAACAGTTTCTCCACTGTGGCAAGTCTTAGGCGATTTCTTTTTCGCCATCAAACACCCACATTTTGAATGGAGCCTGTTGTTTATATCGCTGTCAAAACTCGCGGCAAAATCCGAACCACTTCCTGAATCAGTCACGTGGTACAGCCGGGCAGCGAGGCTTCGGACGTCATCATTTTCAGCTCCTCCCCTAAATGACGCAAGCCTCGATACGCTCATCCCGGAAACGCCCCCTCCCCTACTCGGCACACGCTTCGAAGCCTCGATACGGAACGTCACATCACTACGTAACAGTGTTAGTCTTACGTAGGTGCTAGCACCCCGCTAGCTAGTTAGCTGCACAGTTAGCATTAGCTCCTCTCCTCCACGCCGGAGGTCGTTACATCGGCATTTTGAATCAAGAATGGAGACTGATGATCTGTTGATCTGTGTCATCAGGACAAGACATCGAGGGTTATCAGCCAGTGTGGTTTGAAAAAAGGACAGATGACACAACAGGAGCAAGCACCTACATCTACAAGGGCGGCTACTGAGAGGCCAAAGAAAGACAGGACTGGAGCCAGTGTCCTGAGATCTTCTAAAACAAAATTTCCTCTTATGCTGTGTGTAGCAACAAATGTATGAGAGTACCTAGAGTTCTTATTTGTGTGTATGTGTGGTGCTGAAAGATCAACATATGTATTAGAGAAAACTTTGCCAAAGCACACTTGTTTCATTGGGTATGTGTGGAGATAACTCCAGGGCAAACGGTGCCACAGATGTTTTGGTACATGCACTGAATGTCTTGTTCTCCTCAAAGCTGGAACAGCATTGTTCCTCGTGCCGGGCTGAGGTACGAGGCTTTGAAAGGACTGTAAGAGGACAAGCCATTCTTCTCCACTAGGGGGCTTTTTCACAGCACAATCCCTCCCTCTTGAGGAGGTTTACAGTTCTGTTTCATGAAATTGCACAGTCTGTATCTTGAAGGATTCACAGTTGCTGTCAGTCTGAGTGACCTGCCATGAAAACAAAAGTAGATGTTAATCTCTTTGGATGCACAAGTGACTGAAAACACCATGCAGTTTTGTAGGTAACTTCTGCTTCTTCCTTGTTTCTGAATGAATTAAAGAGACACTCCACCGATTGCTGATTAATTGTTAAAGCCAATTTACTAGTAATGAAGAGTGCAATGCAACCTTTGAAGCAGTTGTATAATGTATTCACAGGCTCTGAAGGAGTTTTGTTGAGTCTGAGAAAATTACAGTACTAGGCAACATCACTTGGGTAATCTTGGCTTAAACTTGCACAGATTTGTAACAGGCAGCCTGTGTTACAAACTGGGCGTATGGGGGTTAAGGTTTTACCTGGCTGGCAGGGTCTAGCTAAAGATACTATTGAGGTGCATTATAGGAAATGTAGGATCCAGAATTTTTAGAGCTTGACCCACACTGTATGAAATCACACTAGGGACTAAAAGTCAGAATATATCTGCCTCTGGTGCATCTATTTTTGACAACTCCTTTTTAACTTTATTGAAGTGCAATAGCAAAATTCTGGCCTTCCACTTCTAATATCTTATTCATATTTTAGTTCCAGTGAAGTAAGAGTTGGATAAGCCTAGGGGAATTTCTTTAGCAAGTGATTATACTGGTGCATGATGATAATTTTTACCTTAATTATGTAATGAAGTAGTAAGTCCTTAGTAACCACTGCATCCCACCTCTGAGATTCTGGATCACAGAAATCTGACCGGCTATTTTTCTTTGAAGGGGACATACATGTATACTTCAGGGTAAATTTTATTTTTAGTTTTAATTTTACTGACAATATCAAGCTTTATGTAGCAACAAATTTGTTCCCCACTAGTTAAAACTGTAGAATTGGCCAGTTCTCTGAATGGTTTCTATCTTTTAAATTGTGTTGCTTTGTTTAGACATGTCAACACAACTGCACAGTCACTTGAGAAGAAGATATTCCCTGCTCTAAAAAGTGTTTTTGCAGCAGAAAACATGTTTTTGTTACAGTATTGCTGAATGCGAATCATGTAAAGAAATCCAGTTTATACACGAGTTAAAGGGCAGCAAAGGAGAGGATTAGCAATACACTTATTATTGTGTACACTGATGTATATTAGCAGTAAATATACATTCTATTTATAAACAATATTAACCTGTTTGTTTATAGTTTTCGGCTTATTGTGTATTATAATAAGGCATGATGCACATGCTCGACTGCCTGGATGCTTTTGGCCTGTAAATAGCAAGAAATAGAATCACCTCATTTAAAATCACTGTAAGAAACTAGTGTTTCACATTACTTGAGTTTTAATTTTACTGACAATATCAATAGTTAAAACTGTAGAATTGGCCAGTTCTCTGAATCAACACAACTGCTTCCAAAGCTCAGGACTCTAGAGGTTAAAGTATATATACATAATCACAAATTGAGTCAAGGTTGTACATAAGTTAATGAGATGCTAGAGAAATAAAACGATGAAGATGATACAATACAGTACCTAATATTAATGATGCAAATAACGTGTTGTTCAAATAACGCACATGCTCCTATGTGCATGTTTACCTGCAGGTAGTGATACACACTACATAGTCTTTTCCATTTCACCATACAGTATAGCTATGCATGGTTTTAGAGTGCTCTTGCACTACTGTAGTGGTGTCTTCATCTAGCTGAGTGTTTGTGGACATCACATGATGTGAACTCGATTGTGTGCTCAATAACCTCATACATTTTTACAGTTTATAGCTCAAATAAAAACATCAAGCTGTCACTGTGCTTTTGTTTACTGTCATCAACCAAATGTTGTTCAAAGCTTTTACTTCTCAGGGGACAGATAATACAGAACATGTCCAGAGAAACAGTGTGTCCTGTCACAGTGCCTCAAGGCTAACAATAAACATCTCTTGGGACTCTGGGGTGAGGTTGAATGTCAGCTGCTGTCTATAAAATAACAAATCAACACAAGCTTCTCATCTGACAATAAATTAAAGGCTCACAAAGTTAAAAATTCTGCTATAACCTAAAAGTCATTATTGTGTCATAGCCTTTCCCTATGAACTATATAACAACCTAATAACATATTTGTTTAAAAAAAAAGTTTACAAAAGTGCAGAACAATAAGAAAATACTGGATTTTAGACATGATATAAAGAATGAGACTGATTTCGATGAATCAGCTTTGCATTCACTGAACATTTTGGATTGTAATGGGAATTTTGCATGTAGAATAAAGGTGTCATTTAGACTGTGTAGTCCCTCTCCTGATGTTGAATTTAGGAAAAGGCAACACACCTGCATTTCTTAATACTTTGATGATTTATAGTGTACTTTCATTTTCACCTGCACTTACAGTAACTGACATGTTTCAATAATGGTTACCCTGAAATTGCATGATTAACAAAGCTCATCTCTTTCAGAAAAAGGGAAGTTGAGAGTTGAGTCTTGAAAATATTTACTCCTGTGTAAAGCAGTGTACAGAGGAGACCTAGACGGTGGTTTAGCATTGTCTCCCATTTGCTCGGTTTATTGTACTGTTACACAGTTTTAGCATCTTTTGTAGGTAATTATTTGCATTTCGCAGATTAAACTCTACGAGTGCTGCCTACTGTATGTTCCCTAACTCCTGAACACTCATGACGACAGGAAGGCAGCTCATCATCAAGTGACGACGCTCCGGGCTCCAACACTTCACATCCTGCACAGAGGAGAGGTTGCATTCAGTTGGCACCATGCACTGAATGAGCGGCCCATAAATGAGTGGCACTGCCTTTTAAAGAAACCATCCAATGACAACGAGGTGCCTCCGCTTCGGCTTGGCTGACAGCACGGTAACCGGCTGACGGAGATTTCGGGATGCTGCCAGTGTTACGGTACTCGTCGAGGAGCAAGGTAAAGATTATGATATTGTGATATTGTGTTAAAATGGGACAGTGCGCAGTAGCCGTGTAGCTAATGTTCACATGACGAATGAAAGCTATGGCGGTTTGTTTGGTAACCTAACGTTAGCTAACCTCTCCAAAGTCACAGAGATGGTCGCTAGCTAACGTTAGCATGACAGACCCTCGGCTGCCGGGTGTCAAGTGACAGCCCGGCCATAGCCGCGGTCACTCACCTTGCCCTTTTCTCTTGTGTCACTGGTTACAGCTGTTTCACACAAGATGCGATTAATTCAAAAGAGCTCAACATCACGAAGGAAACGGTAAACGCAGAGTTAACTCGACTTTCGTCGTGAGCAGCGAATTCTTGTTTGTGAACAACAGAGCGAGTTGTCAGGGTTTCCCTCCGCCCCTGTGCCGGGAAAAGGAATTACGGCCAGGGAATTGAGTAAGCTGCTATTCAAAGCCAGCATGAGGAGAAACCGGCGTATCTTCTGTAAACTTCCGCTGCCCTCTCTGGTATATACACACACACCTTAGTTACAGGCTCCACACTGAGTCGTGGCGTACTGGTTTGCAGCCCGCCTCATGTGGGTTGTTCTGCATATGTCATGTTGCTGCTCAGGGTGCGTTGAACAACCAGCCTGTCATGCAAAACAGAAACACGTGTCTGTAGATGGTGCTGAAAACGCAGGATTACTCACCAACAAAGACTGGCAAACACCGCAGAGGAGACAGGCGGCTGCGTCGCAGGCGGTTTTCGCAGTTTCTAACTTTAAAGTAGCCCGTTTGAACTCGTGCTTTTCATTTGGAGATGAGAACTACGGATTCAACATGTGTTTTCCTTACAGAGAGGACAATGACAAGAACATGATCAGCGCCGATGGCTTCTCAAAATGCGAGGCGACTCTGCGAGAGAGCGGCAGGAGGAGGAGGCCACCAGCAGAGATGCTCCATCTGCTGTCAGCGGTCGTTATTTGGCTGGTGACGGGCACCACCATCTCCAGCCTCAACAAATGGATATTTGCAGTGTATAACTTCAGGTATCCTCTGCTGCTGTCAGCACTACACATGCTGACAGGCATAGTGGTGGCCTATGGGCTGATCAAACTACGGGTGATCTGCCACAGAGGGGTCGGAGAGCAGGACCTGACCCCCAATGCCAAATGTAAGGTGTTCCTGTTGAGTCTAACATTCTGTGCCAGTATCGCCTTTGGAAACATGGGGCTGAACTGTGTCCAGCTGTCATTTGCACAAATGATCTATACCACCACCCCACTCTTTACTCTGGCCATCTCCACGTTGATCCTGGGCAAGCAGCATCACATCCTCAAATACACAGCCATGATGCCCATCTGTCTGGGAGCCTCCTTCAGCATCATGGGAGAAGTCCAGTTTGATCAGATCGGCTGCTTCTTTGTGTTCGCAGCGACCATGCTGAGGGGTGTCAAGTCCATTCAGCAGAGTGAGTACCACTATGCCACCTGAGTGTTCTCTGTCCTGTTGATATTAACACTTGGTTTGGGTGTGGGATCGATGTACAGTATATAGAAAGTAAACTCTGAGTTATTTTGTCATTTTTAATGGAAATTTCAGCTCATGCCAGTGACACCAGTGTGTATATTGTGTTTCCACTCTGTGGCCCTGGAACTTTTTACTGGTTTGGTGATTCACTCCTCAGTCCGCATCACACCCACACATTAAGGTGAAACATAACAGTGGCATATTTTCTGGTTCCCTTTGAAACAAAACACATGTAAACGTGTTGGAATGGGCAGGCTTGATCCTGATCTCTTGTGACTCGTGGTTTCTTGATGGACCGGGATGTTCAGAAAGGCCGAACTTTGTGGAAGTAACAGATGCAGTTTACAATCGTTTTCTCATAAGCAAATAGATTACATGGACTATTTTCAGACTTTCTCCTATTTGCCTCCATGCTTTAACACAGCTGGGAAGGGATTCCTGTTGTGAATTCATGTCACATTGCTGTAATGTTTCTTCACTACAATGTACCCAGTATACTCACTTATCTAACGTTCTCCACTCTGAGAAGCATTTATTTACCAACTTTGTGTCTGTGTACAGGACATTAGTCTGTAACATCATTAGTCTCCTTAACAGTGTATTTGTCAGAGAAGACAAAGGAAAGAAAAGAGTTTCTAAAACTATACTATGGCCCTGTCTTTAGTTTATGTAACACAAAAGCAGATATTCAGTTTGTTCACGGATCTGTAATGCTACATACGCTTTACCTGCAGGAGCAGAGGGGCATCTTGTGGCAAGTTCCAGACAAAACATTGCTTATGTGTTTACAAAGTTGCCAGGAAGGAACATGTAAATGCTGCTTTTTGCATTTGTAGCTGAGTTTGTAAACACAGTCCAAGCAAAAGGAAGTTGCTGCACATTACTTTTTATTTTTAATCATGACTAAAACTTCATGTCCAGGCTCAGGTGCCAAACTAGCTGGATGGTGTGTCAAGTTTCAACACGCTGTTTTCATGCTCTCTCGCTTGTTGCTGTTGTACCAGTTTCCCTGTGCCCATGTTTTTGTTTAAAGGCCCATAGTCAAAGCCTCAGCCCCTATGAATGACATTATGAAGTGTTTACAGTGTGGGAACGGTGTTACAGCTGCTTTAGCTCTTGATAAAACACAGGAGTGTCAGAGATGGGTTTTGTTCCTGTATGTCCAGACTTCAGGGCACATTATGCAAACTCTGCAGACGTGTTTTGCATAATCCCCTTCCATTCCGCTGCTATCACATGAACGGTGAGCACAAGATTGTGTTCCTGCTCAAAATGACTATAAAAACAGGAACGCCCTCTTCAGCTCTCCACTAAAACACACTGTGTTTCTCAAAGTATTTTTTGGCAAGAAATGGTAGTTGCTGAATCAGATTTATAACTTGTAATAACATGGTGTTAAAAGGTGCATCCCTTTTGTGGCAGATATTTTTGTTTAAGTAGGAAATGCAGACAAATGAGGTTTGTTTTTGACCCAGCTGATTTCATGTTCTCTTACTGTTGTTGCTACAGCTTTCCTAATACGTTGACTGTTGAAATTTGACTTGTTTGTTTAAAGCTCTCCAAGCAAAGCCCCCATTTTTGACAGTGAATGTCACTAAACACAATGTCGTGTTTGTTTGTGTTTACATAGGCATCTTACTTCAGGAGGAGAAGATCAACTCTGTGTTCCTGCTCTATCTGATGTCCATTCCTAGCTTCTGCATCTTGGCTGTGGCCGCTCTGGCCTTAGAGAACTGGGCCATGCTGGAGTCGCCGCTGCATTACGACCGCCGCCTGTGGGTCTTCATCTTGCTCAGCTGCCTGGGCTCAGTCATGTACAACCTGGCCAGCTGCTGCGTCATCACGCTCACCTCAGCTGTCACTCTGCACATCCTGGGCAACCTGAGCATGGTGGGAAACCTGCTGCTGTCTCAGCTGCTTTTCGGCAGCGAACTCTCAGCCCTCAGCTGCACCGGCGCAGTGTTGACGTTGTCTGGAATGCTCATCTATCAGAACTCAGAGTTCATCGTCAGCTACCTGGATGCACGCAGGGCCAAAGCTAAACGGTCCAGGCAGGTGGACTTTCACCCTCCATGCGGTCAGGACTTGGACAAAGCTAGTGCACCTGAACCAAGATATCATCAGCAGAGAACTGATGAGAGAGACAAAATAGACTGAAGTGGGAGGATGAAGGAGAGAATAAAATGTTGAAGGTCAAAATAATAAAAACCCAGGCTGGAGTTCTGTACTGTGTGTGTCATTAAGCGGTCAAGAGCAGCAGAGGGAGTCTGACCGTATTAGGCTCATTGTCACTCATAATGTGACATTGTTTTATTTATTTTATTGTTATTTTTAACTTTCTCATTGTGCCATTTTGTTTCTCCTCTGGTCACAGAAGACTGGAGTCTACAGAGAGGAAGAGAGTGCCTGTCTAAATTCTCTCCTTGATCTGTAAATCACTCATACATAGCCTATAGCAGTATATGCATGCATGAGCACACTGAACTGTTTGGTACCTGATGAGGTATTCACACTGTCACTCATACTGCTCCACTGTGAAGATGTTCTCATTTACAGAGGGCTGTAATGTTTCAGGTGGCTGTCGTGGATATTGTCGGCTGCAGACAAGATCGTGTAACATTGAGAAGGGTGAGGCTTAGCGAGCACTCTGCCTCAAATCTTAAAGGGCACAATTTGTATTACATATATTGTATATTAATAGTACTGTTACCTGACATCCACCTGGCCCTGTCCTGGTGAGGCACCGGGTGGGTTGGCAGCTCTTTTTTTTGTTGGTTTGTGAAGTGGGAAGCTTGCTAAGTAAGGACACTGCAGTTGTTGCGAGGGCTAAAAGTCTTAGTCTTGCGGACAAAGCCAACATTTCTGTGCAATGAGATGCGTCTTGTCCTCTACTGAAGCACATTTTAATAAGAGGCCGGAGTTCTGTTTTCTTGGTTTGGCTTCCCACATAAGGTCTAGATTTTTGTCTCCCAACTGCTTGAAAAGATGGTCTCTCTGTGGAATTAGGCCAATTATTTCCAACTTTTACAACAGTGCGCTCACTCTGTACCTTGATAATTAGGTTCACAGGTTCTCTAAGGAGTGTCACTCAACTTTAGCTGTCTTGTCCCTGTGGAAAAGATGAGGAAAAAGAATACTGAGCTTTCCTCTGAGGTTGCGTCTAACCAGTCTGTTAATTAATAATTTTTCCTTTTTGTGGATGATATTTTTATAGCCATCCTTTGGTGGACGGTGTTATATTTTGTCTCATTATATGATTGCATTTTCTTTTGTGGCAACATATTTTATTCCCTGTTTAATACTTATGTGGAAAAAATATTTATTTTTGAATGACCATAGCAGCCACTGGCTTTGTAATGCTGTAGATGTGTGTCCTCAGGTGTCCTGCACATGTGTCGATGGTGTATGTCTCTTTTATAGGTCTGGTGTACAGAGCAGAACACTGCAAGCCGCTGCTCCTCCTCAAAAGTTTCTGAAATGATCTGGGATGTCTGTCAGACTCCCTCCTGTGGGTGTGGTATGCCCTTTGTTTACATTGAAAGGCTTTTTAATCACACTATACACATACAGTTTGATCTCTCACACAGTGACCCAACAAACAAAGCCATACATCAAGGTTTCCAGAAGCATCTTCTGCATATTTTGCCATAAGAGTAATAGCAGGTAAGATTGTGTATTTAATATTTCCTCAATATTTCAAGCGCACCATTCATACATTTGTATTGTCCTGAATAATAGATGCTTCTAATAAAGCAACAAGATAATTGAAAATAGTGCAATATGGATACCAGCAGTTTGAAAATGGCTTTGTTTGTCATTAAATCTGATCATTTAAGAGTTTTTACATAATTGAATAGTTAAACGGGACGTATTATGCCCTTGTGTTCGTTGATGATTAATTATTGGCCAGAGCTCAAGCAGCTTTTTATCAGCTAAAGTAAAACTGCGGCATGTGAATTATGACTTTTATTGCTCGGTAGACTAATTTGATCACAGAGATAACAGAGATACATTTTCTTGTGTTGAGCTACGAGCAGAGCAGCTTCTTCACTCTTATTTTAGTTTTATACTCTGAGTTAATCTCTCACCGCCTCGTGTCAATTGGGCAGGTGTGGCTGCTTGTTGTCTTGGATGTCGTGCCGATTAAACTTTGAAAATTTAGCAACAGTTAAACAAAGATGCAGCCTTCAAAGCCTCTGGCTCCTGTGCACATACTGGTTTTGGTTGTTTGCAAAGCTACTTTGATGCAACTAGTTAATTTATTTTTATGCATTTTATAGTTATATATGGCTGGTTTAAACTACTGTATAATGGTTTAAGATTAAAATGTTTGCCTACTGCCTTATTTGGGCATCCTGTGACAAGAAAGACGTAATTTGAGTTGTAATTTTTTAAAATGTATACGCTGAATGCCAGCAGCAGCTGTAAGTGCTTCTGTTTAGGAGCAAAAATATGGGCAATTCATATACACATGATCTGCAAATACTTGAATAAAAATAAAGTGACTGGGACAATGAACAGTAACCAAAGCAGACACCTCGTCACTGAGTCAGAGTTGTTGCCCACATCACACCTACTGCACGTCCTATTTATATTCTACAGTTTATTGAAGTTTGGTTGGATACGAACCCTCTTGATTTTTATGATAATTTTATGCCTACGTCTGTTACGTGAACACAGTTTTCTTTGTCCCTGTTTTTTATTAGGCCTATTTTTATTGTGTTAAAACATGTTAATAGTAACGTATGCTTTTCCTGCCATGACAAGTGAAATGTCTGCTGTGGAAAAGGCCTGTTGAAGCTCATTTTACTATCATATCATTGTGTTGTTTTTATGAAGCATTTATGAGTGTTCACCATTTGGTGGAGCAATTTGTCTGCATTTTGATTTAGATCCATCTATAGATCTGCTTTAACTGTTGGACACTAGTCACAGCTTGAGCTGAAAAAAGGTTTAAAATAGATTTGTTTTCTTCCAGATTTGTGTGTGCATGCGTGCGTGCGTGCCTGCACTACTCCCTCTTAGAGACTCCTCTCCTTCTGTAAACAGAGTTCACTGGTCAGACTTTTGCCTGAATAAGGCAGTGCTCCTCACTTTTTGTCTTGTTAACTCCTTCACCTCCCACTACACAGTTTGTCTGCAGCTCTCTCCAGATTAATTGTACCCAAGTGAAATTTGTAGTTTAAAAGGTAGAGTTTGGTTGAGGGAATGCCCCAAAAAGTTTATCCTGACATCATCCATCCAGGACACAATGACATGAGGAAGTCTCTCCTGGGAATGACAGAAACAGCTGGATAAGGACCTGGTGGGTTTCTCCCGCCTCCTCCTCCTCCTTCCTCTCTTGGGTAGTTCATGTAAGCAAGCTCTGCTCTCTTTCCAAACATGGATCTTTATAAAGCGCTGCTGTGAGAGGTGTGATGTCAGGGCTGAGCTCTCACAACTCTGAAGTTTAAACGAGGGTTGAGGAGAGGAGAGCCCTGGACCTTAAGAAGAAGAAGAAGTTCAACGACTGCAACAAGACGTGCAAGATTACATCCTGAAAACAGGTGAGTGACCCCACACCTCAGGAGCCAACAATCCGTGATCTGAGTTCCTATTTTCACATTTTATTCCTTTGTTTTTCAAATGTTGTGTTATTGAGGTTTGCGTCAGCTCATTTTCGCCTGTGTCTGAGCACACACAGTTTTACGCTGGTTTTTTTTTCCACCACATTACTACATTTGTATGTGTTTTTGCCTGTTCTGTGCAGCAGTTGTACAAAGGAGCAGGGCTATACTATTTAAGAGTTGTCACTGAAACCCCAAGTGTAGGTATGAGTGCTTTCTTCACTTATGGTCTTGTGAAATATTCACAGGGCAGCACGGTGGCACAGTGGTTAGCGCCGTTGCCTCACAGCGCAAAGGTTCCAGGTTCGGGCCCCACCTAGGACCTTTCTGTGTGGAGTTTGCATGTTCTCCCCGTGCTTGCGTGGGTTCTCTCCGGGTACTCCGGCTTCCTCCCACAGTCCAAAGACATGCAGCTAGGTTGATTGGTGTCTCTAAATTGCCCATAGGAGTGCATGTGCGTGTGTGTGGTTGTTTGTCTATGTGTTGGCCCTGCGATGGATTGGCGATCTGTCCAGGGTGTACCCCGCCTTCGCCCGATTGCCGGCCGGGATTGGCTCCGGCCCCCCCCGTGACCCCGCTCAGGGATTAAGCGGTAGAAAATGAATGAATGAATGAAATATTCACATAAAATATATAGAGTTGTGTGTTGTCAATATCCAACCATATTTACAGCTCAGACATGGGGTCAAAAGCTGATGGCGGATCTGCATCTTTGAGCAGTGAAGAACTGGCTGCTATTGAGGATGAAGAGGTTCTCAACAAGATGGTGAGCCCATGAATGTTCCCTTACCCCTTATGTGAGGGGAAAATAATGCAAAGAGTCTTTTATGAGCTAAACAGGAATTAATAGCTTGTACTAAGAGACTGTTTTACTTTCTTACAGATATTCCTAGATGTAAAATTTAAAATACATTAATACAGCAGAACAGTTTATTTACATGTGAATGGGATGGGAAGAACCCCCCCCCCCAAATTAAAGAAAATTTCTATACCATATTAGAACTTAATGTGAGCATGTTTTGCCACTGTAAAATGTTACTGTTTTTAACCTGCGCTTTCTGTTTTTAGCTGGACAGTGCAGTAGATTTTGAAGAGAGACGAATGATTCGTTCTGCGTTAAGAAACCTACTTAAGAAAAAGAGAGGTGGAAAAGCGTGAACGTAATAATACTTCCCTTTCTCCTGCGATGCTTTGCTTTCTTTGTAACTTCTCAACCGTCTGTCCGTCCATCAGACAAACGGGAGCAGGAACGAGGGTCGAGGCAGCAGGACTTGAGACAGCAGGGCCTGAGCAAAGGAGGAACAACAGGCGGAGCTGTAAGCACAGGCAGAGCATCTATGTACCAGCAGCCATCAATAAACAGTGAGTGTGATGCTTTCTTTGTAATTTCTCAACCGTCTGTCCGTCCATCAGACAAAGACATGAGCACATTCCATTTTCTGTTTTAGTGTTTTATTTCATTTCTTGGATCTTCTCTGCATCTTGTTAGAACCCACAGGACGGTCCTCTCTGTCAGCCGCCACTCCCTTCAACAGGACAGCAGCCAGGTGAGTCACATTTTAGCACAGGTGAACACAGAATTTACCCAAATGTTAAAAGATTAAACATTCCTTTAATCCCAGACACCCAAAATTTGTTTCTTTTTGTAATTATATGGCATGTCTATTAAAATGTTGTTTTTTTTTAAACTTACTGTGCTGTGGCCGAAACCACCAAATGGTACACACTGTTTGTTAACCAACTGGTAAATGTTAATTTGTAAAAGACACTCATTCAGACATGACCTACTATTTCTCTGATGTCTTTTAATGGGAGTTCAACAGTGTCTTCCTGTACGCAGTGGCGGAAGAAGTACTCAAAGAAGTAATCAAATTGTTTACTTAAGTAAACGTATCAATACCACATCATGTAAATACTCTGTTACATGGAAAAGCCTTGCATTCAAACTGTTACTTAAGTAAAAGTATATAAAATATTTGCATCAAAATATACTTAAAGTACCAAAAGGAAAAGGTACTCACAATGCAGAATGCACATTTCCCATTAATGTATATCGTATTATTAGATTATAATTGAGGTATTATTGTGTTGGTCACATTTAACGCTTCAGCAGGTAAAGGTGAAGCTGATCTTAACTACTTTATATACTTATAATTTGAAGTACTTTACATACTGCTAGATAGCTTGTGGAATTCCCACAGAGGATTAATAAAGTATAATGATTTTACTGTAACTAGTAACTAAAGTTATTTAAAAATGTGGTGGAGTAAAAAGTATCAAATTTGCCTCTAAAATGTAATGAAGTCAAAGTATGAAGTAGCAGAAAATGAAAATACTCAAGTACAGATGCCCTAAAATAGTACTTTAATAGAGCACTTGAGTAAATATAGATAATTACTTTCCACCTTTGGTTGTACATACTGTGCACCTTATCTAAGTAGAACATTAGTCCAGAATCTTTAACTGGTCACAATATAATTAATTAGCACAAACAGAAACTATGCAGCATGAAAAAGGAAATGCCATGCACTCATAATGCAATACAGAGCATACAGAGATGCCCTAAAATTGTACTTAAGTACAGTACTTGAGTAAATGTACTTAGTTACTTTCCACCTCTGCTTGTACGTATAGTGATCCCATCCTCCAAACAGAAAACACAAAGGTTCCTTGTGCATAACATCAGCCAAGTTAAAAGATGAGGTAACTTTCTGTACATCTAGTGTGTATCTTTATTTCATCTCCTCAGTAAGGCCAGTCCTGCTGTAACTTCAGCCCCGATATGTCCTCCTAGTGCTACAGCACCCAGTACTAAAAATGTCAAACAGATGCTTCTGGACTGGTGCAGGGCCAAAACAGAGCCATATGAGGTAAACATGCCCTGACTCTGTTTGTCTGTGAATTATTTCCCTGTGGAGCCATACATAGCTCTGACCCTTATGTCACATTGTCCAACACTACTGGTTCCTCTCTGGTATGAAACAGGGGGTGGACATCCATAACTTCTCCTCAAGTTGGAAAGACGGCATAGCCTTCTGTGCCTTGGTCCACCGGTTCTTCCCTGATGCGTTTGAGTACTCCATCCTCAACCCGAACAAGCCCAGGGACAACTTCCAGCTGGCTTTCAGCACTGCAGAGTGAGCTCCCACTCCTTATACAGTATGAGGATGCAGATGTGTGTTGTTAGCTCTACAAGTAAAGTGCCCCTAAGAACAAAGTGACTTTATAGTTTTGATAACATATCTTTTGAGCCATTGTTTGTCAGAAGTTATTTTCAGTGACACCCATCTCCATTTGCAGGAGGCTGGCAGGCTGCCCCCCTCTTCTGGACGCTGATGATTTAATTCAGATGGATGAGCCCGACTGGAAGTGTGTGTACACGTACATTCAGGAGTTCTACCGCTGCCTGGTGGAGAAAGGCCTGGTCAAAACCAAAAAGCAACCCTAGACGCTAGCTTTCATGACCAGCTGTGATTTCAGTCTTGGCCAGGTGTGTTGGACACGCGAGGAATTTGTCTCTGGTACAGCTGCTCTCAATGCATATGTACATGGCCTTATGTAAGAGAGCAGTGTAACCAATATAAGGCTGAGAACAGTAGTAAAGAAGTAATGTGCAATCAAGCAGAGGAATGTGCCTTAGGCATAAAAGTAAAGTACTTTTTGTGTTTTGTTTGAAACTTTTTGAGCACATTATGAAAGGTTTAGATTTGCTGTGTGTATGTGGCATGCATACAGTTAAAGAGGCACTTCATCAATGATCCACTAATATTACATGTGAATGTTACACATATTCTTATAATGACACTTTTCTATTCCATATGTTTTATACTGTGTCTCTGGGGGGACCTTTTTTTTACTGTAACTGTCTGAAAACTATCCTATGATGTCATTAGGAGTATTTCATCTTAGGCTACTACCTGGGTTACTAACACTGGGCATGGACTTTAAAATACACGAGGCATTTACTAGGAGGGAGGGTCAATTGGAGATTTGTAAGATGCCGAGTTTTGGGACTTTTATCTTGACCTCTGCTCTTATTATGTGTCTATTGTGAGACCCCCACTTTATTTGTTGGAATACTTCTGCAATTCTGTCTTTTTTCACTTACTGAAATCATATCACCTAATTTATTTATCTTAAAAAGGTAACCGCACTAAAGCTACTTTCAATAAAAACAATCAGGCTATCTTAAAAATTTTTACTGTGTCACTCAGCTTTGCAATGGGCTATAAACAGTGGTAATTCTGAAAATTGTGTTACTGTAATCATATATTGCATTGTAGTGTTTTTAATATGCCCCTTATCCTTTATAGGCTGCAAACCAGAATTAGTACCAGCATTAGGAAAGTCTCATCTTAATGATGCAACACCACAAACGTGGGGCTTCAAAAATGATGGTCATGGCATTTTTGACACAGTCTCAACGAAAATGTAACTTAATAATTCAAAAGCTTTAAACGTTATTATAATTGCTGAGTTTTTTGTGCTGCAGTCCCCAAAGCGCTCTGTGCAGTGCTATAAAGATGGACGTTCAAAAGACAGGATGACTAACTGCAGTTTAATTATTGGCATGCTGATCAATTCTCTGTGTCAGTGACGCACTAATGTCAGATTAATGCACGATGGGGCAGATGTTCAATTATTTCTGGCCGGCTGCACTTTGCCTTCCTTTTTCTGCCCACCCCCCAGGTGCTCTCATACACTGTTTACCCAGAGTGCACAGAGAGAGAGAGAGAGAGGGAGAGCACGGGGGGGAGCGCCACCGTGAGCGCGCGTGATAGGTCTGTGTACGGCCGGTGTGCAGGAGGTGCAGGCGCGATGCTGACCGAAAAGTGCACAGTTGCTCTGGCAAACTGCGCTGCGCTATAGACAGTAATAATAAGTAGGATGAGGTCTAATCAGCTGTTGTATTGTAGTACAGCCATCAAAATGCAAGAGTCCGGACACATAACGCGTGACCGCCTCTTGCCCTGACAGCCCGGCGACGCGGTCTGCACTGTGACGGAGACGTCCACTGTCCCCGGTACCGCATCTGTCCTGCAGACTGACTGGATCGTTGTTTCTCCGGACCACAGCTTGGTATCGCCTGCATGTAGGACCGATGCTCTTCTCCTTTGGGAATTAGTGAGATCACCTTTTCCGTTCACCTTGAAAATAAAAACAACACGTATGAAAGGTAAGACAGATGTTTTCACCAGGAACGTAAGGCACTACAGCCGTGGCAGCTGTGTTTCTCTCGATTCTTTAAAGGTAAAAATGCGCTTTGTGGTGGTGTTCATGAGTTCAGGCGTGCACCTTTTTAGATAATGGTGCTGTCATTCAGACTCGAAGGCTCATGAAAGATTGTCACCTGATAATGTGTTTAAAGTTGCATTTTCACTTTTAAAGTGAATGTAATACAAATCTGCCTGGTCACCATTATTTAAAACTCTGTTTTGCAGGTTATAACTGTGGTCACATGAATTTCTCAGGTACAAAGAGATCCTGTTTGCATATAGGCCTAATGAATACTTAAAAGGGGTGTTTGATTTCTCTGTGGGAGGTCAGATAAACAAAATGGTGGGAGGCTCCTGTCCTATCATGTCAAGCATCCTCTACCTTGTGACCTACAGCATCTATTGACATCATATGATGTGCTTCATTGTCTGCAGCTGTGTCTTATCTCATACATCCCTTCACCCTGACCTGTAAATTTCTTAAGCAAAGGAAAGAGGTCAAATAGTAGTTGGACAGAGAGCAGAAAAGCACTTTACATCTCATACCAATCATCATTAACAGCTGTCTGTCACTTTCCTCTGCCCTGTAAAAGGGTCAGAGGCTAATTAATGTTGCTGAGCAACAACAATGTAAACCAGGACACAAGTCCAAAGTTAGTTCCTCAGCCCAGTTGTCTATTCATTATAATATAATCAGTGGAGCCTGAGGGGAAGGATGTGATCAGGTCCTCAAAACTATGGGATGCATTCTCTTAACTGTGCTCACTACATCCATATCCTTTGCCCTGTCACCTTGCGATGGAGTCACTGTGACTTAAGTTCAAGTCGGGTTCATGACATGGTGGAGTGCAAAGAACACAGAAGTCACTTGTGTCATTTTATACTCACTGTCTTCTTTTATTAAATCTCACCAACACTTGTAAGAATCTGTTTTGTGTTGTGTGATAATTATCCACCTGTTGTAGGTTGATGGATCACATGCAGCAGAATCAAATCAGCAGTGACACTTGTGGGCCCAAAATGCAATCTGGACCCTGTGTGTTGGTTGGAGCCAGTCCAGGTTTACTTTCACAACTTCCAATCCAGGAGCCTGCTCTCATCAGCCCGTCTGAGTCCTTCAGCAGACAGTCTGGACTAAACCGTGTCCAAACTGTAGTTGTACCTGCAAAAATGACAGACCAGATGCAACCAGGGCAGACAAAGACTGGGACCACTCCAGCAATGCTGGCAAGCATAAGTCGGCCAAGACCGACTTCTCTTGGAGCTAAACCTGCACCAAAGCCGACCAGAATCTCTGTGGACCCCTCCAAGGAAACATCAGGACCTCCGAGTACCAACATCCTGCCACACTGGCCAACAGAGTCCTCCTTTCCCCTTCCCAGTCCTCAGAGTCCCCACAGCCCTCAGTCTTACACCAGCCAGCCTTACCTGAGTCCTACTCTCAGCCTGTCCCCACTCAGTCCGAAACTGTCTCCCAGCTTCAGCCCCAAACCCAGTCTCAGTCCTCAGCCACATATCACCTCCTCACCTGGGAACTCAGCACAGAGCCAAGTGCAGCCGGAGAAGCCAGGAAAAGAGAACAATGACTTCAGGTGAGATCACTCACCCTTTTATTAAAATATTACTTGGCTTCTGTCATTTCCACCGGGGTTTGAAATGGTTCTTTTCTTCACCATGGTGAATGTTGTTCCCTGTTATGTCTGGAGAACCTGTGCTGCAGTCAGTGGCTGTATGAAAGTGGATGTGTGCCAGACCACAGCACATGAATCAAAGCCACAAATTTCACTAAGAGCCTTCTGAGCCTGGTGGAGGGACACAGCCACATTGTGTTGGCAGTATTCCTAGAGGCACACTTCTGTTGTGTTCCTTCTTCATTAACAATAACTGCTTATGAAAGCTCATTTTTAAATTTGTAGAACAAATGCCAAATATTTGTTTTGATTATCTTACTTTTCTTTCTCTAATATGAAAGTAAACTGAATATCTGAGTTTTTAACTGTTGACCAAGACATCATCTGGGACTGTGGGAAAGTGTGATGGACATTTTTCACAATTTTCTCAATTTCTTTTTACTTAAAATGATTTTAAAAATTATTGAGAAAGTGGATGGACAGATTTCTAATAAAAATATTTGTTAGTTGCAGCACTAATTAGTTGTTTCTCTAATGAAATAGTGAGGCTGGTAGTTCAGTTTCGAAGGACAGACAGTCTGTCTTTCTCTCTCTTAGTACTAACCCATGCATGCACACACACACAATATTTAGTCATCACTGAAGTACAAAGAGATGCTTAATTGTACTTATCCTTTTTTTTATCTACAGAAACACTAATGAAAGCTATTTATCTGAGGTTTACAGCACTGATTGTCCTCTTTCCTTCTACAGAATGCACAGTGGTACTTAAACTTAACGCAGGATTTCCACTGTTTCTATCTTTTGAAAGGGTGTACATTGTCACATGGAACGTGGGATCAGCTGTTCCACCGGATGACATCACCTCTTTGTTTGGACCAAATGTTTCAGATGGGAGCGCTGACATGTTCATCATTGGGTAAGCAAATAGTTGTACCAGGCTCAGCAGTGAGTGCCAGAGAGACAGCCGTGAGTGCCCACTCAATCATCTGCGTTCATTTTGATTCGTTCCCTCCTGTTACCTACCACTGTTCTTTTTGTTCTCGTGTTGTCACTTATTAATCTCTACTTTCTGCCACCCTCCAGACTCCAGGAGGTCAACTCCATGATAAACAAGAGGCTGAAGGATGCTCTGTTCTCAGACCAGTGGAGTGATCTTTGCATGGACACACTCAGTCCCTTTGGATATGTTTTGGTCAGTGAGGGGTTAACACTCACTGTGCCTTCTGTGGCACCATAACCTCTAGTTTACTTCACTGATGTATCATTTCTATCTACTGTTTAGGTGGCATCCCAGCGAATGCAGGGAGTATTGCTGCTGGTTTTCTCTAAATTCTGCCATCTTCCATTCCTAAGAGGCGTGCAGACACAGAGTACACGCACAGGACTGGGGGGATGCTGGGTACGTGCTATGCATTGAACAGTGTTCTTCCAAGATTTATTAAGTTGCAAAATCTATGGTGGGCTTGTGTCAGGGGCACTGAAAGATGTGCATGCATTCACTCCTGCCAGCAGGCGTGTGCATGTGTAGGTGTATATGTCAGTGTGTGACCTTCCCATGCCTGTTGATGTCAGCACCACCCCTGGCTGCTGCTGGTGCATTCTCCTTCTCTTTGAGGTCAGTGCAGCAGCAGGCTGTCTGGCTTTCTGGGTTTGACTCAGTGGTAGAAAAAAAGACACCATGACCTCGTTCTTCAACATAAATCAGGATGATATATGACAGGGTTTTACTACATTTCATTCTAAAGATGCTATGTACTGTATAAGGAATCCATGTCCCACTGAATCCTGTCTTTCCACTCACTCTAAGGGGAACAAAGGGGGTGTCAGCGCGAGGATGACAGTGTTCGGCCACCCTGTGTGTTTTCTCAACTGTCACCTGCCTGCTCACATGAGGAACCTGGAGCAGAGGATGGAAGACTTTGAAAGTATTTTGCAGCAGCAGCAGTTTGAAGGAGGCACTGCCACTGGTGTACTGGACCACGAGTAGGTGGCATCATTTTTACTTTGTTAGTCAAAATAATCCAGCAGTCAGAATTTAAGAACAAATGACATGCACATATTTATAAAAACAATTTTTTTTATTTACACCTAACTGTTTTAGATTAGCCTGAGCTATAAAATGCAACAATTGCTCACTAATAATAAATTAAGCTGAATTTTCTCATTATTGCCTCTTATGACTACTAAATAATATCCTTCCTTTTTAGAAAAAACTTTCTGAATCATATTTTTTTTCTGTCCTCAGTGTCATGTTTTGGTTTGGGGATTTAAATTTCCGTATTGAAGACTATGACATCCATGTGGTGAAATGTTCCATCGACAGCAATAAGCTGCCTCTTCTGTGGGAGCGGGATCAGGTGATGCATTTTCATCGTTTTAACAAAGGCAGATGGATTTTTCTGGAAAGCTTTCTACCACCTGTTTCTCTCTTGAACCACTATCAAACGAGAGTGGTGTAGAACCAAGTGAATAAACATCACCTTCTGTCAGACTGAATGAAAATTAGATCTGCGCTGTTTATGCTGTGTGTATTCTACAGCTCAACATGGCTAAAAATACAGAGTCCATCCTGGAAGGCTTCATGGAGGGACCGCTCAAATTCCCACCTACTTATAAGTTTGATGTGGGCACAAATACATATGACACTAGGTTTGTTCAATCACCTCCAACACAAACCTTTCTCTAATAGATTTTATTTATATATTTTATTAAAGCAAAGCTCAGGCTACTACGGCCTTCCGTTTCTTTTGTTTTAATTTCTATCAGTGCTAAGAAGAGGAAACCTGCCTGGACTGATCGTATCCTCTGGCATCTCCGTCGCACCGGTTCCCCAGTTCCTTCCCACAATGCAGCACTGCAGCGGGGTTTGACCTCTTGGTTGGGTGGGGCAACTAAAGTGACACAGCACGTCTACCGAAGTCACATGGGTTTCACAATCAGTGACCACAAGCCTGTTTCGGCTCTGTTTTCACTGCACGTGAGATATTTTACGCATATCCTTGATCACACTGCAGTTAATCGCCCACTGTATAGATGATTGCTTCTTTTATTTCTCTCTCTATGACTTATGCTCTATTCATATAGTTCCCATTCAAGGTGGATATGCCTCTGGTGGAGCTACAGGTAAACAAGGAGTGGTGTAAAGTCTCAGATGCTACAGTCAGATTTACTGTTGCATCAGCTTATCAGCGCAGCTCATGGGACTGGGTGGCAATATATAAGGTAACTTGCTTTACCATATTCATTCCTACAAGGATGTTTGTTTAGGATGAGCACAAAATAAATTCTTGCAATTTGACCCCAGCGTCAGTATTTACAAGTATGGCCATCATGTCTCTCTGCACAGGTTGGATTCAGACATCACAAAGATTACCAGGCACATGTGTGGGCCAAGGGAGAGCATGCAACACAGGTGTGTCAGATACCAAAAATCATAAGTTAGGGTCGCACTCAGTAGCAAGAAAACACGTTACTCAGTAAGAAGACAGAACGTTCCAGCCTTCATCAGTGTCACAGCCTCACATTACACACAGGTGAAACCTCTTGAGTTAATTAGTTTCCACCTCAGGTGCAGGCTAATTAACTCACCTCAGTTGCAAACTAATTAACTCAAGGCGTTTCACCTCTGTGTAATGTTTATAGAAACAATTTGTACTGTGATAGAAGAAGGTGACAATAACACTGTGACACTGATGAGAACTCGATGGCTGAAAACATTGTCTTCTTGCAGAATAAAGTGATTTCTTGCCATTGAATGCAACTCTAATTTATGATTATTGGATAATACTAGCTGACTGTCACAGCTGAACTCGGTTTGTTTTCTTCTCTCTTCAGGTGACATTTTCAGAGGAAGATTTGCCAAGAGATGACTGTGAATACATCCTAGGCTACTACAGCAATAATATGAACAGCATTGTTGGATTGTCATCACTCATTCAGGTAACAAAAGTCAAAGACAAAAAGGTGCAGTCTTACTCCTTTTTAAGCTAATGGATATACACTACATGATCAAATCTAGGCAAACATTACCCAAACATTAGAACATCTCATTTTAAAACCAACTTCTCAGTCACATTCTTGCACACCAAACTGGGAAAATTGGATTTTTATGGATCTGGTTTCTGAATGGGTAGCCTTCCACAAAATGGCCACGAAGCTGGAAGCTCACCATTGTATAAAATATCACTGTATAATATGCTGTATAATAGGATTTCCCCTAATCAATGGTGCAGAGTGACCAAGTACATTTCTTAGATGCTGTACTTAAGCTGTACCCACTCGTGGTCCAGTACACCAGTGGCAGTGCCTCCTTCAAACTGCTGCTGCTGCAAAATACTTTCAAAGTCTTCCATCCTCTGCTCCAGGTTCCTCATGTGAGCAGGCAGGTGACAGCTGATAACTGTACCTGAAGCTGAAATGATCACGATCACCTGAAATGGTCAATTAATTGACTAGTCCATGGACAGGAAATAAGTTAGCAACTATTTTGATAATCCATTAACTGTTCATCAATCATTTTAAAAGCATTCTCTGATTCCAGCTCCTACATTTTAAATACCTTCTGTATTTATTTGTCTTCTATGATAGTAAACTGAGAAAATAATTGCCAGATTATTTGATAATAAATTAGCTGCAGCCCTATTGTGATGCATTGCTTTAGGTTTAACTGCCCAAAAGTATATAGTAGTTCAGATTAGTTCCACCTGCTCCAAACTGCATCAGTCATCATCAAGTAGTTCAGATTAGTTCCACCTGCTCCGAACTGCATCAGTCATCATCAATAATAAAAAAAGAGTGCTTTTGATGGTATAAAGCACATTTTGCTAATAATACTTATGTACATTTACTTTGGATGTTGGACTCTTGCTTGTAATGGAGTAGTTCTACACTGTGGTTTTGATTTTCTAAGTAAAGGCTATGGAGAGACGTGTCCACATACTTTTGGTCATATACTGAAGTTTTCTTTTTAGCAGTTTCACTCACCTAGTTATTTCCTCTTGAATCCCCCTTCCACAACAGATCAAGATACCGGTCCACAGCCCTACTATACATCATTCAGACAGCTCCGATTTCAGCTCAGAGGATGACAGCACTCTTGTCCTATTGTCTCAGAACTCCCGCAGTCCAAGCCCTAAAACGGGCAAACACCACCATCGCCACAGGCGTAGTCGCAGCCCTGCTGTTCCTGCTCTTTCCTCCAACCCCTTGCCCACCCTGCAGGGTCTCAGCCTCTGTCCTCGCTCCAAAGAAGGCCGCACACGAAGCCGTTCGCCATGCCCTGCTGCTAAGAAGGAGCGGCTGGTGTCCCCTGACGTTGTGTTGTCTTCCGCCATCAACCCCCTCAGTCCCCGTAGCCCCATGTCTCCAGGTAGTGGGGTGACTGCACCTGAGGCCCTGATTGCTGCCATCTTAGGTGAACACAGACCAGCTCAGGTCAGCCCCACAGGGGTGAAGCGGATAGGGAAGGCAGGAGAAACAGACACTGCATAGAAATAAATATCAGTAGCTAAAAGCAGGTACTGTTTGACGAGAATGATTGCAATATCCGTGCATTCAGAGTATGATGCCACACTATTGCTGCGCTCTAGAAGCAGCACTTTTACTAACTCCTAACATATTCCTCATTGTAGCCCTGCAGTTCTCTGTTTCTGAATCTATCATCATCTCATACACTGTGCGAATCTTGGAATCAAAAATGAGTCCAGACTCCTGTTGACAAGTGCTTTTATTTACTCAAACTATATCATACATATTGAATGTGAAACCAAATTCTGAGAAACCCTGTGCTGGATATGACCTGATATTACTGAGAGAAATATATGTAAACATTCTTATATTAAAATAAGAACTGAGGACCAGAAGTAGGCCTACTGATTGTATCGTACAGTAGTTCTTAATCAGACAGTTTGTGTAGGCTAGTATGTGGTAAGACACATAATAATTGTGAGGAACATGCATTTTGGATTAGATAACAGATTAAAATTTGAACCGCATAGTTCTTGGTTGTTATTACTAAAATGATTTTAATGTATCTGAAAACAGAAATAAAGTAATTTACCACCTCAGCCAATATGAAACGTACATGTAACCATGTGACTTCAGTGGTAATCCCAAATCAATGTGCTTATTCTTAGTAGCTTTGTGAATACAGCACCTGGTCTATCTATGGAGCTCAGTGAGTGATGTTAAGGCTCGTGATCATTTTGTATCAAGGAAAAGCAGCAAGAGTATGCAAATAAAACAAGAACAAACTAAAAAGTAAATTCTTTATTGGACAAACATTAAACTTGATTTGTGACTATTTAGTCATGTTTTCATTTTTAGTAATTTTGCTTCTCTAAGTCGCTTTTTGTCTTTTTGTGGTTACACAAGTGATGGCTGTGGTCAGAGGCATTATGTTTTTGGGTTGTCCATCTGTCTGTTGCTTGTAAATGTGATGTCTCAGGAGCACCTTGAGGGAATTTCTTCAAAATTGGCACAAATATCCACTTGGACTCAAGGATGAATTGATTAGATTTTGGTGATCAAGGGTCAAGGTCAGTGACCTCACTTCTGTCCCATATCCATGAATTTGACTAGTTAATGGAGGCATACAACTGCAAAGGGGTAATTCTAGTTTTTGTCTTTTACTTGTTTTTGTCTATGATGTTGTTTTGAACATCCTTGTGATAATTCTGCATCTCTTTGTGGCTGTTTTTGTCTGTGCTTCTCTACTAAAACCTTTTCTTGGACTGCCATTTCTTTTAAGTCTCTTTATTCTTCTGAAAACAATTCCCAGTCTAGAAGGACAGTTTAAATTATCTACACTCAGTGTTGGAAAGTAATTAAGTACATTTACTCAAGTACTGTACTTAAGTACATTTTTGAGATGTCTGTCCTTTACCTGAATATTTTCAGCTAATGTTGCAATAGCAAATCCATTTGTAATGAAAAAAGACCACACTACAGAGAACGAGGTCAACTGAGTCGACTCGCATCATAAAAAGGCAAGGCTTTTCTCCTTTCCCTTCTCAGTGTGTGAAGGAGTCCAAGCTTTAAAGTTATTGGTAGTTTGGACAGTTGTTGAGTCTCTTTAAGTCTTAGCTGGAAAAGTGGCTGAGGTACTCGTGAGAAGTGCAGGTACCTAGAGAAATAAGGAAGAGTCAAGGCAAATATAGGCTAGATCATGGACCTCTACTGCGATGGAGTTGTGTGCCATGGTTGGCCAGTTTCCAAAACCAGACAAGGATCCCTCTGACTTTGTGAATCAGCTGACATGGTATACCATTATAATCCTAATAACAAGCATACTGTACAATTGATGCTGACATGTTTAAGGGGTGGATTTGGTGAAGTAGAGCCAGCTGTGACTATCACAGTACAAGATAAGGATGAACAGAATAGACCTAGTGACTACATTGTGCCCTTAAGATGGGAATAGTGGAGAAAGACAAAGAAGTCAGCACACCTCTCACTTCCACTGATCTGTATTTGAGCATTACATTTTTAAACTAACCTACATTTCTTGTCCTCGGTGAACACATCTAGTTTCAGATGAATAGATCTTTTTCTCTTCTCTTTCTAAATAGACTACACTTTGTTCCACAGCACCCATTTGAAAGCACCAGTGAAGGAGAATAAAGCCATTGGGAGGGAAAGTTGGAGAGGCATATGGCTCTAATATTTGATAAATTAGAGAAAAGTACATTGCAACTTTTCAACCAGGAAAAAAAAACTGTGTACAAAGCTGTTTTCTGTCCTGCCAGAGAAAGTGATGTAGGACACTGCGACCCAGAAGTTGATGTGTTCCGCTGTCTGTGAGGATGAAGACGACGCTGTACCTGATGCTCATTGACAATGCCTCTGCACCACAAGTTGTTGATCTCTTCACAGACATCAGGTATCCACTTCTGTACACGTCATTAAAGCTTTATTTTCTTTGTACTTATGATTGAGTGACGACTCTTTTTTTTTTTTTTAAATCTTGACTCAGATACCCAACCTTAGGAAACTGAAATTGGAGAAAACAACCTAGTGATGCAGATGGGACCATAACTGATCCATTGGACATGAAGAGGCTGGCCATAGACATCTGTACCAACCTGTTTGGTCCTCAGAGTTGAGACTGACTTGATGACATCTTGAATGGACTGTATCAGCAGAGGGATGCTTAGTCAGCTTTACCTGAGTCCTCCACCGCTTTGGATGAGATGACTGCAGCAACTGAACTGCAACCTTTCTGCTGGAGTGTTTTTTTGTTTTTCTTTTTTAGCTGTCACTGTTTCTTGACTAGGTGAATTTTGGAACTTTACCACAGAGATGCACAAGGGCTGGGTCATTATTCCATAATTAAATGGTGGAAGTACCTGGGTAGGCTTAGTGGCTACATTAATGAGCAATTCTCCATACACATGAAGTTGTGCTTTATAGTGTAAGCCTATCTTGATAATCGTAGTTGTGCTGTTTTCAAAATCATCACCACCCAGATTTTAATAACTTTATTTTAAATTTAAATCATTTCATTTATATAAAATTTCTGAGTTGTCTCGCTCTGCCAATTTTCAAGAGGGAGACTCGTGCTTCAATTAGTGTTTACAATCATTTGCATATTTTTTAGCATTGCAATTCTGAAGTGTTATGGAAATATTAAAAGTGCTAAATGCTTTAGAGGTGACTTTTTTTCTCTCTCCAGCTACAACACCTTTATCGGTGGCCTTAGTAATAAACCTATTAAAGTTATACATTTATGATGATTTCACCAGATGTTAGGGCTGAAGTGCATACAATTGTACAGGCGTACCTAATAAAATGGCCAGCCCGTGTACATCGTATGTAATGGTCTGTGTTAACATTGGACTATTAGTTCTGCATTTAATGAATAGCCTATAACATATCTGATGCTCTTGTCAAACAGTCCAAATAGTGTTTGTTCTTATAAACATTTAACAAACAAGTGAACCTGAGACAGGAAGGCAAAATGTGGAGAAAGATGTGCAGTGACCTCTATAGAGACAGGTGTGTCACCACCAGATATCCATTTCACAATACAATTTCAAAGTAATTGGAGAATTGATATATTTTGTGGCTTTATGAGTTACGAATTATGATTGGTTTCTTAAATCTATGATTTGTTGATAGACAAATGGGCTACTTGACAGATAGTTGACTGTCGCCAATTGTCAGCTGGGATTGGCACAAGCCCCCCGAGACCCTATTCAAGAATAAACCGTATAGATAATGGATGGGTGGATGGATGGATTGGTATACTGTATCTCTACCTTTTTACCTTTATCCGTAGTTGTTGTATTGGCAGCAGGCAGTAGAATAGTGAGCTAATCAATAAACATTCAAGAAAAAAAAAGTGTGATATGAAGGTCCTGTACCCCAGTAGAGCTTTATGTCTAGCAGCGCCCCTAATACTAATATTTTTGTATTTGTACTTGAGTAACAAGACGTTTTGCATGATTTTAAACTCAGTACACCCATTCGCATCACGTGGTCTGTGTTCACTAACACCATTGGTGGTAAGGATATGAGCATTTGTTCAGTCAGGGCAGCTGTCTGCCTACACTGCTTAACACTTCACACTGGTGAGCTAAAACCTAAACAAGTGTGGTTACTTTGTGTGACTTTGCCAACAGGAACCACGTGAAAAGCCTGTGAAATCCTGCCCAGGTTCTAAACGGTATACGCAGGTGTCTGTATCTGGACGGCAAGTTTGTTAGCTAACAGTGTGATGACTGAAATGAACGGCTACCTGAACGGTGTCTACAACGACTTGCTCAATGATGAAGACTGTTTCCTCTTCACTTCAGAATCGGTCGGAGAAGGACACCCCGGTAAGCTTTAGTTTCTAAGTCTCTATGAGCAGTAGCTTCACCTCTATCCACCATATAGATTAGCCGGATTTAGCCATTTAATTAGCCGGATAGCTCTCAAACATGATCCTGTGTCACACTGGTGTCAGCGTGTTGTGTCTGTCAGCTGGTCTCCGTCCTCTAACGTTAAGCACCTCGTTTTTCCTCTCCGCACATGTATCCACCTGCAATATAAAAGTAGCCTACGTGTACTGTAAACTCTTTAGTTAAATAGCCTCGGGATTGCACAGCTAGCCCCTGTGTTGTTAGCATGCTAATATCACGTTAGGCTGTTGGCGCCTGTCAATCATGTAACGTTAACTTAGCTTAGCTCAACACTGGTTTCTGGCTGTAATATTACACGAATTTACAACATAAGATGGTATGTTTTGCCTACAAAAGCTAACAGAATTTGCGAGTGTAGCTAACCCGTAAGAACCATAAACACCACAAAGCTAATGCGTTTATTTTGTTTCCACTGTTAACTGGAACAGGATAGCTAGCTAGCTAGCTAATGTTACAACACCATACGGCGTTGCATCATTTACAGCAACATAAATAGACGTGACTTGTGCTCGCCGGCTGTGGGTCTATTATTTCTAGTCACGGAGAAACATACCCCACATACATTGTAACACTAAATAAAAACATATTAGATTGCTTAAAAATATTAAACTGTCTCGTGGTTAGTGTAAAACTTTCAGCATGGTCCTTTCAGTGACATTATAGTGTAACTATGAACAGATTCTGTGTTTTAGAATCTGTCCATAAGCGAATAATACGCCTCTTTGTTTGTTAATGTGTGCGTGTAATTAAAAGTAACGTTAACAATTTCCTAGTTTAAGAGAGAGAGTAAGAAAACGTCACCTTGACACTGACCAGTCATCTGATATAACTTAGCTATAGCTAACCTCTGTTGCCATTTTATTGGAATGCCTTGCTATAAACTGATGTACATTAATAGGATAGCCATGCAATAAATCTTACTTTGAGTTTCATACAGTTTTCATTTTCGAGCCTTTACTTTGTGGTGCTGTTATGCCATTATTGGAAGACCCTTACCCTCCTAATGGCCATAAACACCAAGATTTATTGCAGGGACGTTGTATTAGCCTGTCTTAGATTTAGCTAACATACAACACTGTTATTTAAGAGCTATTTGGCAAGTTCTTGTACAGTGTGCTGCTATGTTACACTGTCTTACACTGGGACAGTGGGGGCAGCTGTAATAGGCTTTCAGTCCTAAATATAGGCACTGCAGGGGCTGCTGCTCAACTGTGGGTGCAAAGTAGTCCCATCCACCCACTTTTGAAGTTACAGGACAATACAAGCACCTACTGAGATCTCTATTAATGATGTGGTTCAAAGTGTATGTCCCATTTATGGTGTGTGAGCAAAATATGTAATATGTATCTGAACAGTTTAAGCCATCCTTGAAATGTTTTCACACCAGTCCTGAATTGTGTGGGGAGGAAATTGCAAATCTGTGAGTGAGTTTTAACACCAAAACACACAACTTATGTTACTGTAAATGTTTTTTTCCTCTCTTTGCATGCTTATACTTTGAATGCACTGAATTGTTTTAATATTGATACAACGGCTGCATCACGAAACAACTACAAATTCAATTGCCTAGTAGGTACAGTGGTTTTAGTACAAAAATCTGTGATTAAAATACAGGCATAAAAACACTGGCCTGGTTAGTAAGCATGAGAATGTGCTATATCTGACCTAGACAAATATGTTGTTGTTGTTGTTGCTGCTGCTGAAGCACAATAAATCTAACATGAATCCGTTCTTGTTTGTCTAGAGTACATTCAGTAAAATAAGCAGGTTTTATTAAGAATAAATTAACTTCTCCTTGCATCAAACTTTCTCTATTTGTTTTTGTTTATTTTTAGTGGGTTGAACTGAGTTTATATGTGCATATTTACCCATGAACCAGTGATGGAAAGATGAAGCCTCATTGGAGCATCAAAGCTTTCCAGCCATTTGAAGCAAAAATGGTTATTGTGTGGAAGCTTCAAGTGTTCATGACACCACCTAGTGGTGGATTGAATGTGCTACAGAATCTGAATCTGTAGAAATAGACTGAAGCAGCACATCTCAAGGTTAAATGACTTTCTTCAAAATATGAAATGAATCCCATGTCATTTGTAATGTTATTACCTCTCTCTTTAATACATATATTAATCACTTTAAAAACATCACGTGTGACAAGTCACTGTGTAAGCTTTTGCCTTCAGACATATTAGTAGCCTAATGTGCCTCACCTGCAATAAATTGTAGGTTATTATTTTTAATATAAATTAAATGCCCATAGTATATTCTGGAAAGCTGTCCCTAATTCACGTGTGAGAGGATGTGTGCCTTTCCTGACACTGAAGGTGAGAAATTGGTAATAGTCTTCATAAACAGTATTTGCTCTGTGTGTGTGTGTGTGTGTGTGTGTGTGTGTGTGTGTTGAATACTGGGCAGAGAAGGGGGTAACTAGCCTGTTTTATTTAACATTTGCTGTACAATATTTGGGTTCTGTTTCATTCTTTTAACATATTATTTCTCCAGCATTATGGGGCAGAAAGGTGGTCAGATGATGCAGGACTACATAAATAGCCTATCTGAGGTGGAAGGACTGGTGAGGGACAGGAAGCCTACACCGTTTTTATGTGTGGTCCAGTAGGGGAAAAAATGAAATGCCACCTATATTTCACGTGCAAACAGCCATAAATTGTACATACAGTAACACAGATAATTTTGATACCAAGGGTCTAAAGGAAAAGCACATACAGTAGCCTCTGCATCTTGGTAGAAATTAAATCATGATGTTCCCATATTCCATAGGGGATCACTTCTGTCTTGTTGTTGATACCGTGGCAATATAATGCAAACAATCGCACTGCAGTGATCTCCAGTACTACAAACCTGCAAACTTTGTGATCTTTGTCCTCTCCCCCAATATTTCAAACACCCCATAAATATAGAAGCATTTCCTTAATCAGAAACCCAGATGAAGTTTCAAACATCATCAGTGAAGTCACATTCTCTAAATGATAAAGGCCTCGACAAGAAGGTTCACTTTCCACTGCCTGGAGTGCTCAACACCCACTTCAATGCCTCGGCGTTCACCCCACCATCACTATTATGAACAAAACTGATGCTTTTCCCTGAAGTGTTTTTATGAGTGTCCTGAAAAATACTCTTATGTCACTCCACAGATAAGATTTGTGATCAAATCAGTGATGCTGTGTTGGATGCACACCTCAGCCAAGATCCTGATGCCAAAGTAGCATGTGGTAAGTCTTTGGACAGGAAAGCAGGACAGCCATAGAGGCTGCTCTTTACTGTGTATTTATTCTTGAAACCTGCATGTTCCCACTGAGGCATGTGGCAGAGTAGAGGTGAGCCTCCCCTACCACTAAATTACACTCGTTACTTATTGCATCTTTTGGTTCCTCTGTTGAAAAGTGTTTTTTGATGTCTTATTGTTTCTTAGCAAATCAGTCCCTGAAACTAAACTCGGGAGCTAAAAATCTCCTTGGCACAGTTTTATTGTGTTCTGGTTCCATCAAATGACCATATGACATATACCTGAATACATCAAAGATGCAGATGATGAATGCTTGCTTGCAGACTTCACCGTAGCCTCAGACTATTTTCCAGAGGTAACCCAACTGTCTAAAAATGACAGGCAAGTGCTGCGGCATAAACTTGAGCTAGTACTGTAAATGAAAGGAGAGACAGGGTAGGGAAAATTCCTGTTGCCTATGAGAACAGGTGTAACCAGTGGCAGCTGGTGGTGCATTATGTTCCTTTTAGATGTTGGCAAAAAGTTTAACATGTATGATCAGCATATCTTTTAACATTTTGTAAATACTTGTGTTACTTGTATCAAAATCTCAGTGAACAATTTTTCTTAATGTAATACAAGTAAAATAATTTAAGACCTGTCAGCATGTTACTTACCTGCATCCGTATGCCAGCGAGTCTACTCGGTTCCCTTTCACCTCCTTGTGCTTAATGATATCTTCAGATTAGTCTTGCTCTCATCCCTTTATTCTGCATGTCACTGTGTCCTCAGAGACGGTCGCTAAGACGGGGATGATCTTACTGGCTGGGGAGATCACCTCCAGGGCCAACATTGACTACCAGAAGGTTGTCAGAGAGACAATCATGCACATAGGCTATGACGACTCCTCTAAAGGTACAGTGATGAAAGCAGGCAGCTGTGAGTTTAGTTTAAGATTAAGCCTCTTTCTTGCATCTAAAAGAAAAGGGAATTAAAAAGGTAAGTTTAGAAGACTGTTGGGTGTGAGCAGTGATCTGAGTAGCATCTTTCATTTCTACCTGTTGAATGAGAGAGACCTGTCCCATAGTTTGTACACACATGATCGAGACAGATTTGAGGAGGACTGTAGTGCCCCAGTTTACTGAAGCTCAGTTGTCTTGTTCCACAGGCTTTGACTATAAGACCTGCAATGTGCTGGTGGCTTTGGAGCAGCAGTCTCCTGACATTGCTCAGGGTGTTCACCTGGATCGAAAAGAAGAGGACGTGGGAGCTGGTGACCAGGTCAGAAGGTTCATACCTTTATGTTAGTGTTTGGTCTACAGCTGGGTAACTGGAGCCAGAAATGTGGTGACGGTTTTATTTTGCTGTGACTTGTAACTTCACCTCTGACAGGGTCTGATGTTTGGATATGCTACTGATGAGACTGACGAGTGTATGCCCCTCACCATTGTCCTGGCCCACAAGCTCAACGCCAAGATGGCTGAATTACGAAGAAATGGAGCACTGCCGTGGCTCCGACCTGATTCCAAAACTCAGGTTAGACACTAACAGTATACCCACTTCCACACAGTCAAGCTTAAAACAATAAAACCACTGTATTGCAGGGTCTTTTCCTACTGCAAAACTTGGCTTGAATGTGTTTTCTTTACATTTTTTCTGAAGAAGCAGTACATGGTAGCAAATTTTTATTAGTGTCTGAACATTTTTCTGATGAAAATAGAGACAAAAATCATCTTAGAATAATCTAGTTAGACCTGTCGCCTCACAGCAAGAAGGTTCTGGGTTTGAGCGCCAACCCGGTGACGTTCTGTGTTCACTTTGTGTGTTCTCCCCGTGCCTGTGTGGGTTCTCTCTGGGTGCTTCAGCTTCCTCCCATAGTCCAAAGATGTGCAGCTTAGGTTGATTGGCGACTATAAATTGCCTGTATGAGTGTGTTTGGGGGTGTGTGGTTGTTTTTCTACAAGTCAGCCCTGTGATAGACTGGCGACCTGTCCCGGGTGGATGCCGCTTCTCGCCCAATCTCAGCTGGGATTGGACCCAGCTCCCCACGATCCTCTTCAAGATAAGCGGTATAGATGGAGAATGGATGGATGTCTCTCTTTTTACCTTCAGGTGACTGTACAGTACAGGCAGGATCGAGGTGCTGTGGTGCCTTTGCGTGTCCACACCGTTGTGGTCTCTGTACAGCATGATGAAGGTGTAAGTTTGGACGAGATGCGTCATTCTCTGAAGGAACGGGTGGTGAAGGCTGTGATTCCTAGTGGCTACCTCGATGATGACACCATATACCACCTGCAGCCCAGTGGCCGCTTTGTCATCGGAGGACCACAGGTGAGACAAGAACTTCTTTAAAACCTGTGCCTTCTTAGTTCTTCTTAGTTAGCAGATGTTTCAGTGAACACATTGTTATGGGCCTCATTCCAAGTGATTCCAAAAGTCTAGTAGGTAATGTGGCTGTTTCTTCCCACAGAGCGATGCTGGTCTGACTGGGCGTAAGATCATTGTCGATACTTACGGGGGGTGGGGGGCACATGGAGGCGGAGCTTTTTCTGGGAAAGACTACACCAAGGTTGACCGCTCTGCTGCCTATGCTGCCCGCTGGGTGGCCAAATCTCTGGTGAAAGCAGGACTCTGCAGGCGTGTGCTGGTCCAGGTGAGGATACAGTATGTCGTGGTGTTAACTCATCCACCTGTAGGCCTGAATGTGGCTGATAGTCGGCCCCTACATCACAGAGAGCAGCGATTATGGTCCTCTTAAATTAATTTCTATTCCAGTGAATTTAATAGCTAGCACTGTGTTTGTAGTATTGCCTAATACAGTGCTCCAACTGGACTGTTGACTCTGCTGCAGGAGTGGGTCAAGAAGCTTTTATGGATGTTTTTGTTTTTTTTTGTTTTTTTCCTGCTTTGCAAACATGTTAACTTTGTAGTTCTTCGTAATTAACGCGTATTCAAGTTAAATACTGCAACGGATTGCTGTGGGGAAAAAAAACAAGCTTAACTGCTACGTGTCAGGCCTGCAGGCGCTTTGTGTACATGTACAATGACACGTGCAGAATTATTTAGACTGCTTTTGTTTTATTTCCTTTGTGTTTGTGTTTAATTACTCATAGGTAGTTAATTGTACATTTCTAGGGTGATCACTAGAGCCTGACTGTTTTATTTTAGCTCATTGAATTTTACAGTTAATAATAATATTGTCTGATATACTTTTTATACTGTCTCCTCCAAATCAACACATAACACTGTTTGAAAAAGGGAGAGCATTTTACATTTAAGATATACGAAAAAGTTCTTACTGATGTTATGTGGACAAACTCTGTTTTAGGTATCCTATGCCATTGGAGTTGCCCATCCTCTCTCTATCTCAATCTTCCACTATGGGACCTCCCCGAAGAGCGAGAAGCAGCTGCTGGACATTGTGAAGAAGAACTTTGACCTCCGTCCAGGAGTTATTGTGAGGTATGCTGTAGGATCTCGTTTCACATTTTTGCTTGTTGTACACATTTTGCTCATATTTCAGGTGTTGTATATAAAAATTTTATTTCTGTCTCAGGGACCTTGACTTGAAGAAGCCCATCTACCAGCGCACGGCCGCTTATGGTCACTTTGGTCGTGACGTCTTCACATGGGAGGTGCCCAAAAAGCTGAAATATTGAACCCCTCTTTTTTTATCTCCCAGTGGGCCTTAGGTGTATTACAGATAAGCCTATGTGTCTGTTGGCCTTCCTTCCTTCCTCCTCCTCCTCACCACATACACAGCCACTTCACTACAACCTCTGCTACTGCAACATGTCATTTTCCGTTTCACCTCAGTCTGTTCATAGTATTTTGGCTTAGGAAAAACATTAGCTTTGTTGTCACAGCCCTCAACCTGTCTTTTTTGATGACACAAATAGGGCCACACTGTATGAAATCTACTAATGTTCTTATTTGTACTGTTCCATCAGGTCATGTTTTTCTGACGTTTTACAGAGAAGTCAGGAGCTGCTCGTGACCTTGTGGCACCATGAAATAACTCCATTTTTTAAATTTAGTTTGTTGTTTTAAATGTTAGGACATACTTCAGATTGTGCCGGGTACAATATGTCAGTCTTCTTCAGACCAAGATACAGGCGTAGTGCAGTACTCGCCCTTCCTGAGACTGCCTTTGGGTGTAGCTACAGAGAAACCCACTCAGTCACCTCTGGACAGGGGCTGCCTTTGTCCTGTCGTGCTTGAAATAATGTTTATACTAATGGCATTTCACTGTTGTGGGACCCTACAGTTTGACAAGGAACGCGGGACAGCTTATAATGTGTGCAACAAATGTTTGTGTCTACAACCAGTTTTCTAGTCAGTTGTTTAGCGTTCTGACACCTTCAGTCGCACCTGCACATAATGTAAGAAAGGGAATGCAAGAACATGAAGAGCAGCGCCACAGACAGACCAAGACAAAGCGATAGGAGGCTGCACACAGTCATCTCAGTGAGTGTAAAGCATGGTATGAATGCACTGGCTTTCTTTGCAGAGTTTGGTGCAAATGAACTTGTGGGGTCACATGTGTTGCTTGATGCTTGTGAGTTTTGAATCTTCCAGACCTTGAAATTACACAAAACACAAAAGGCTTCTGTTTTCAGTGTTGCATGTTCAGTAGTTCTCAAATGAATGTTGAGCTTGCATATAAGTTAAGTTTTCTCTTAAGTAATTCATTTATTTATGGGATAGGGCTGGCATGAGTAAAAAAATTCTGACTTGAGACTTGAAGCAACTTGAGCTTGCCAGGGTTCCCATGTCGTTCTTTTGAAGACAGTTTAGTGGAGTTTACTTGCAGGAAATACAGTATGTTAGGAAAGATGTGTGCCAGATTTGAGCCCAATATGTGAATAAGCAGAATGTGCTTCCTACAGTTTCCCTCTTTCACTTGACACCTAGATGTCTTTGAACTCAATATAGTGGCAGAATTAAGGCCGAACAATTCATTATTCAACTTTAAAATCACCAGCTTGTCCTTGACCTGTACTGAATGCACAGTTTGTGTAGCTTAAAATGTCTTCATGTCGCTAGGTGGCACTGTTTCACCAGAAATAATACTGAAATTAACATTTTTGCTGACTGTTATCTCTTCATTAATTTGGCTTCTTCGACAGCACCTTGTGGTTCCTTGAGTTTACTACAGAAACCTCTGATACGAGCCACAGTGTGGTGCTGATGAGAGTATTTTACAACACTCCTGTCATCTAGTGAAATGACAGATCTCCCAAAGAATTTTTTTTTTTTTTTTTAAACAATGGGCTTGCCTCCTCTAGCTCAATCACAGATGAGACAAATGATTGGTTGGTGTTGTACAGAGAAACCGGCCTGTTTACGTGGTCTCCTGTGGGGAGTTTGAGAAGCAGTTATTTTCTTTATGTATTTTTAAATAGATGGGAGTAAGTCTGTGAGAGTGGTTATTCAACATGTAAAAGTGCCTTTACAAATTTTTGGCAGTGCCCCGTCTCTTACCCCCAAATATGTGACTCTTCAGTAATTCAGCAGTCTGATTTATTGAGTTTCTCTTTTAAATAAATTGCAGTCTTGCTGTGCATGTGCATTTTATTTATTTATTATATCAGAGCTGATTTATGTGATGGTATTGCACACTGAATGCAACCTTAATTTATATCTTATGACCCTTATTTGTACATGCAGGTTCCAGTAATAATCGGTAACAAAATGTTGATTTAAATAAATGTGGTAAAACACAACATCTTGGTGAAATGGGTCATAAAGATGATTGATTCCTTTGGCAAAATATGATCAAATCCTCAGTTCCTGTTCTGGTTTTTCCTGCTTCTGCTTTGTTTGATGCTGATAAACAGCAGTTGCACACTGCAGATTAACAAACAAACCTTTACACTCAGTATTAGACTTTATGTAATGTAATAACACAATCTGTCCAGGTTCACAAACCAATTTGGACTTGAACTTTTCATCTGCCTACAAAATACAGAGGGCTGCTAGGAAATAGTATGGGCATGCTTATCTGTGACAAGTTCATAAAAACCGGTGTGTTGTACCCGGTACTTTTAACCACGCTAACTCTGAGAGACGAAGCAGTCCAGATGAGCGCTGATTTATTCAATGAACACAGGTAAAAATTAACATTACACGCTCAGGTCTCTTGCACCTCCAACATGCTCGCAGGCAGCTGAAAGATAAAGACCCCGAACTACAACAGGCCTATACATTATATCACTTCGGGCTAACCCCATTCTACACAGGAATGTCAAACTGTGACATCTCCCGGTGCCAGCTTTACAGCTGGCCAGAGCAGTAGTCAAAGCATGAGGAAAATCAATGTGTGTGTGTCTGTTGATTATGTGGTGTGCATCTAAAAACATTCTAACATGACCTCTAGTGACATGTCATGACATTAAACATAAGAAAATATTATGACTATGGCTACAGTTATGCATGTCATAATAATAATAATATTAAACATTCTGTCTGCTGACAGTCATCCATCTAGTTATCCTTGACCATAAGCATCCTGCAGTAACTCATGAGAATGACTAAGCATTTAACAGCCTGAGCTAGACATCCTATCTCTACTAAACATTTCTAATACATCAAGTATCTAACCAATATCTATCTGACTTAAAATACCTAACAGGTGTTAAAATGGTTGAAGTGCTTATTTTAAAGGGGACATTTCACAGCCCAAATCATGTATCCAGATAATCCTCCTGAGATGCGTGTGAATGATTACAAGAAAACCCCTCGTTGAAGCTGATAAAAGCGCTGGTCATAGAACTCGGTACAAATATCTAAAGCAAAAACTTAACAAGCAAACAGAGTAATTGTGAAACGTAAAGCATTAAATCATTTGATCCTGTTAAAGTTCATATCTTTGCACATGACTTACCACTGATGTTTGTCAGCCTAAGCCCTGGTTTTCTGCACTAAAGTACAAAATCACAAAATGCAGGTGTGATAATAAGCCAGTATCTGAAGGAATCCTCTTAGACAGAAAGCCACAGGTGTGGAGCGAAGAGAGAAATGGTTGGTTTGATGCTGAAAGACCAGGATCATCCATCGCATTTTTCATTCCGCCTTGAAAAGAGGAGTTTGGAAATATTTTATATGGTTTTGAAAGTTATATTCTTAATATTGATTAGAATTAAAAAAAAAAAATCAACCCACCTTATCTTAGAGGTTCAGAGATTTCCCAGCAAATTTCTGACAGTAGAACACAGTCTGCACAGAGTAGACACGGGTCAGATGTGATCACTGCTGCACAGGCTAAACAAGTTTACATGTTGATGGCTGTATACTCACTCCACATTTTAGGGCAGTTTTGATGTCTCTGCACCTGTACGTTGTCAAAGTGCATGGGTCTGAGAGTAAGAACAGAATACATTTGAAGGATAATTGATTTGTTTAAACACAAGGAACTAATGAGATCTGAGTCAAGTAAATGTTTGCAGGTTACAGCTTGTGACCAAATGTGTTCTCTTAAATGTCACTGAATGGACAGAATATTTCTTGTGGTTTAAAACGACCAAGCAAATAATAATAGTTGCCTTTAGGTGTGCCAGTTTCAGGGCTGTACTGTCTTTCATGCTTGCTCACGCCTGTGACTTAGGAGCATAGAAAAATCGAACAGAGCCATTATTAATGTTTTTAGCTACATGTTCTGAACAAATTAATAGACCAAAGTCATTTCAACACACTTGTCACCTGGAACTCTTAAAAATTGTTTTCATTAGGGTTTTTTTTTTTTAACTTCTCAGTTACTTTGCAGATTCATGCTCTTAATCCAAAATATAATCAAACAATAAATGATGTATTATTATGGATTAATCACCTGGCAGAACAGAAAGTGGCTCCACCTTCAGTAGCTACAGTATGTTTTAATTAATTACATTTTTGTTATTTTTACTTTTGAAAGTTTGAACAAATGTTTAAAATACATTGTTGGTTGAGTACTTGTATTTTAAGAATATTTTAGAGCATGTACTTAGTACTTCAACTTAAAGAATTTGAAGTGGTACTTATAGTGGAATACCTCATTAGGAATGTATTTGCACTTTTACTTGAGTATTGAGTGTGTGTACTTCTACCACGCATGCCCTGCACATATCACTGATGGAGAGGCTGACTGACCCACAGACGGAGCCTCTTCTCTGTGACACTGTTGGAGGAGAGTGCAGATGGTCTGGGGGGTGGCGTAGCTAAGGATCGCTTCCAGCACCGTTTTGGTAAACTTGCCAACAACCTCCTCACATTGATCTTGGTAGGAGGAGGGCAAAATGTGGCAAATCTCCTGGAGCAGCTTGAGCACAGCAGCCTGTAGACAAGCAGGATGAAATGAGCTGTCCACACTGGTGGCATGTAAGTGTGTCGCTGCAACAAGATGCTGTGTTTGTTTATGTGCATGTTTCTACACTGTGTGAGTGTGACTCACCTCAGTTCTTTCCTTAGGCAGCATGTCCTCAAAAGTCTTGACAAGAAAAATGCAGAAGGAGCATTGTGTTGTGGGCCGCGCCTGATTGACAGGCACCAGCTGCAAAGTGAATAAAGCATAAAGTGATCAGACTGGGCCTATACACACTTCAAATATATCCCATCAAAATATATTAAACTGACATTTTCACTTGTTTCAGTAGCCTGAAAGAACTCTGTGACAAGGTAGTGCATCATCTTCTCCTGGCTGTTACAGAGTCCAATGATTTTGCAGACCTCTGCTGGTTTCTAGGGAGAGAAAGAGGAGGCGATAGCTGTTGATAGACCTGAGCAGCATCAGAAACACACACAAAGCCAAAACTACACGACACCCTGTTGCTACACTATTTTACTCCTGATACTCCATTTGAAGTAAGAAGCCCAAGGATGAATCTGGAATACAACTTACTACAACACCAGAAAGAAAGCTCATGGCCAGCGGAAACATCTTCTCCACCTCATCTTTGCAGAGCTTGGCAGTCGTGGCTGGACCGGGCAGGTGATCGCACAGGCTCTCAATGCCAGCCATGATCTTTTTCTGGAATAAAACGGTACTATGGTGAGTTGGAGACTGGTGAGTTTAGAAGCAGTGGCAGAAGATTGTTTACGCAAGTAAAAGTAGCAATAACACAGTGTCAGAATACCTAAGAAGTAACTAAAGTTATATAATTTTCTGGTGCCTATAGAATACAGGAAAGTCAAAATATGGAGTAGCAACAAATGAAAGTACTCAAGTGAAGTACATGTATCTCATAACTGTAATTAGGTAAATGTACTTAGTTACTGTCCACCTCTGGTGAGTGGCTGAGTGTTGTACAGTTTTTGTTTTTGCAGCTTTATATGTGTGCAGCACGGTGTAATTAACATTTATAAATGTTAACTGATGTAATCACTTTTTTCAAAATATATTTTACTCAGAGCGACCCAGTACCAGCCTGCTCTTTTCATCAAAACAGAAGTTGAGCTAAATGGTGAAGTATCTTTCTGTGTTGACATGTGACTCAAAACGCAGCCAATGCTTTCTCCCCTGGGACTCAGACTCAGTCCCCTCAGAGCCGATTAGGTTCAGTCAAAAGAGGATCTTTGAGGTCAGGCAAAGAGAAAACGGTACCTGTGCAATTTCATTTCAGCTTTCATTAGACAGAAAAGAGGAAGTGGCCTAACTCCAAATAGAAAAAGGGACCTTTATATTTTGAGGGTGTATGCACAACTGGTGACAAATACTTTGCTTTTCTGAAAGTCAAGAATGTTCTTCAAGGACTGGTGGCAAGTAATTCCAGGAATTATCGTTATTATTCTTCTTTTTAATAAAAATCGTTAAACTACATATTTTAACAAGAACCTGTAACGGCACAGAACATTTCAATCTTGATTTTTGATCTTGGACAATCACGGTATCGATAATAACGAGTGAGCAAACCTCTCTGGAATGTGTTTGCAGCACTGACCTGGAGGTCTTCGTTGGAAAGCAGGTCGATAAGGAGTTCAAATATCTGGATGCAGTCCTTGCAGACGTCCCCAGTCTGAATATAAAGTCAAAGGCACACAATGAAACTTAATTGTTACATACATGAGATACACTTTTGAACCGTACATATTGTGGTGAAAAAAACTGTTTCATGTCCATGTAAAGTGTATTTCATGAGGAAGAAACTAAATTATGGCTGCATCAGTTCCATTAGATTCAAAACTGAAACATGATGAAGGTTTTGTTCTTGGAACTTGCTTTGAGTAGAAGTGTGCCAAGAGACTTCCTGATTGTGAACAAATATGTCTGTCTGTTCTCTGTACAATGTGAACACTATTTTGTGTGCAGTTTCAATCACTTTAGGGTTTCTCTGGACTGCTGCACCTTCAAAATAAGATGTTAAATGCATCTTAACCTACAGCTTTAGCACACAATATACAGAAGCTTTTGTTTAAGCAATTCATGGGAGATCCCTGGATTTCTTTACAGGTACAGTTATATTTTAGGTTCTTAAAGTTCTTAATCACACACATCCTATTGTATTGTAATCAAAATGTGTATGATTTTGTTATAAGAAATGACACTGTCACTCACTGCTCTCTGGGCCTCAGGAACATTCAGCAAACCATCTGTATTTAAAGTTGAAGTCAGAGCTGCAGAGACCAATGTTCATAATTAAACATCCTCCTTGTATTTTACAGTATCTTATCTACTTTACTATTTTTCAGTTCATCATCTTACCACAGCTTTGGAGGCCGATGAAAACAAGCAGTGCGAACTTGAGCGAGGCCATCCTTAATTTCAGGCTTTAGTTGAATGTCCTTGCTCCTCAGATCTGTGCAGGGAACTGCAAGTGCAGTTTGTATTTGAGATGGCCCCCACTAGTGTGATTCTGAGAATACCACAACCTCGCTTTACCGTTTTTAGCACTGTGGAACTGTTTTTTCTTATTAGCCAAGTTTCATATTCAGTTCCTCATACCAAGCTGTAAAAACCCAAATATACTTTATTTGACAGTCTCAGATGTGTGTACAGGAGTACTGGAGATATATTTAAAAGAGGTACTCACTGCAGTTTGCCAGATCATCCTATAGTTTGGTTTAACCTAGTGGCAGATATAGAAATATATTTGATAGTTTTATACGAAAGAGATTGTCAGTTGTCCCTAGTTGTTTGTCAGCATAATTAGTGTTGTGCTGAAAAGAAAAAGGCCTGCTGTCTTGGCCAACGTATAGAAAAAAGGGAAATAGAGCCTCTCTCTCCTACTTTGTAACTACAATTGTTTTACAACATTCTAATCGGTTTTCATCTGAAAGACAAATGATCATCCAGCCCCCTTTCCAAAAACTGGACAGTATCAGCAAATAGTGAGACAACATGTCGAGCTGTTAGTACATACTGTAACTCATCATCAGACTTTTTTTTAACACACCCACCATCTTAAATCTGAATATAACACTTGGCTATATCTTTTTTTTTTTTACTTTGCTTGTACATTTAGTGCCCTTGTAACATGTAGGACTGTAGATGCTCTTGTCTGATGAGTTCAGCCCTTTTCCTTTAGAAGCAGTGCATCTTAAGACGATCGTCTTTTTGGACATGGCTCCATATTACTCTAGTGACTCCTAGTGGTGAACCAAAAAAAAGATAATGGGGCAGGGCAATCCTGTCCCAAAGTTGTGACCTGGAGACACTGAGATAAATGGGCTGAAAACAACACAGAATGCACTAATTTACCATAAGAGCCTGATTTTTCTACAAAGCCTTTAATATGAAACAAGTTAAGTCTACATGCAGTTGCTTATGTGATGATAATTTACCTTAGAGGACCTACAATATGTCCAACAACTAGGCGTCAATCGGACAATTTAATATTGTTTCCACACCTAATGACCTGGTGCTCAGTTGGTATTATGACCCACTAATGATAAAGATACACACTTACAAACTGTGCCATAAATGTCTAAGTACAAACATATGTTGTATGTCTAATAAAAGATGTACTACTTTGTTGCTGTAATAATGCAGTTTCTTAACCGAGCTCATTAAATGCTTATAAAAATAGCACTGTTACATATGAACACATTTTGAAGCCATTTTGAAATTTCCTACCAACACTACAGGACATACAGTACATGTTTCTGTCTCTGTACTATTTAGGTTCAAGACTGATACAGTATTGTTCAAAATAATAGCAGTACAATGTGACAGAATAATCCAGGTTTTTAGTATATTTTTTATTGCTACATGGCAAACAAGTTACCAGTAGGTGCAGTAGATTCTCAGAAAGCAAACAAGACCCAGCATTCATGATATGCACGCTCTTAAGGCTGTGCAATTGGGCAATTAGTTGAAAGGGGTGTGTTCAAAAAAATAGCAGTGTGGCATTCAATCAGTGAGGTCATCAATTTTGTGAAATAACAGGTGTGAATCAGGTGGCCCCTATTTAAGGATGAAGCCAGCACTTGTTGAACATGCATTTGAAAGCCTGAGGAAAATGGGTCGTTCAAGACATTGTTCAGAAGAACAGCGTACTTTGATTAAAAAGTTGATTGGAGAGGGGAAAACCTATAAAGAGGTGCAAAAAATTATAGGCTGTTCAGCTAAAATGATCTCCAATGCCTTAAAATGGAGAGCAAAACCAGAGAGACGTGGAAGAAAACGGAAGACAACCATCAAAATGGATCGAAGAATAACCAGAATGGCAAAGGCCCAGCCAATGATCAGCTCCAGGATGATCAAAGACAGTCTGGAGTTACCTGTAAGTACTGTGACAGTTAGAAGACGTCTGTGTGAAGCTAATCTATTTTCAAGAATCCCCCGCAAAGTCCCTCTGTTAAAAAAAAGGCATGTGCAGAAGAGGTTACAATTTGCCAAAGAACACGTCAACTGGCCTAAAGAGAAATGGAGGAACATTTTGTGGACTGATGAGAGTAAAATTGTTCTTTTTGGGTCCAAGGGCTACAGACAGTTTGTGAGACGACCCCCAAACTCTGAATTCAAGCCACAGTACACAGTGAAGACAGTGAAGCATGGTGGTGCAAGCATCATGATATGGGCATGTTTCTCCTACTATGGTGTTGGGCCTATTTATCGCATACCAGGGATCATGGATCAGTTTGCATATGTCAAAATACTTGAAGAGGTCATGTTGCCTTATGCTGAAGAGGACATGCCCTTGAAATGGTTGTTTCAACAAGACAATGACCCCAAACACACTAGTAAACGAGCAAAGTGTTGGTTCCAAACCAACAAAATTAATGTTATGGAGTGGCCAGCCCAATCCCCGGACCTTAATCCAATCGAGAACTTGTGGGGTGATATCAAAAATGCTGTTTCTGAAGCAAAACCAAGAAATGTAAATGAATTGTGGAATGTTGTTAAAGAATCATGGAGTGTAATAACAGCTGAAAGGTGCCACAAGTTGGTTGACTCCATGCCACACAGATGTGAAGCAGTTATAACAAACTGTGGTCATACAACTAAATATTAGTTTAGTGATTCACAGGATTGCTAAATCCTAGAAACAAAAACGTTTGTACAACATAGTTTTGTGTTTGTACAGTCAACGGCAGACACTGCTATTTTTTTGAACACACCCCTTTCAACTAATTGCCCAATTTCACAGCCTTAAGAGCGTGCATATCATGAATGCTGGGTCTTGTTTGCTTTCTGAGAATCTACTGCACCTACTGGTAACTTGTTTGCCATGTAGCAATAAAAAATATACTAAAAACCTGGATTATTCTGGTTAGTCACATTGTACTGCTATTATTTTGAACAAGACTGATAAGTGTCTGTGAAAAATTAACTTCTCAGATTTTGTGCTTAAACAGAGTAACTATTTAAATAAAGTTTAAATAGTGTTTAACAACTGTCCAGTCACCAGTAAGTTGATGTTGGAGCTTAGCTTTGTAACATGGACAAATATGATGTTGGCAAGAAAATCTCTCTCTTTGTGTGTAGCAACAGCAACTATGACCAGTCTTTCAACTGTATTAAACGAGAAACCAGCATGTTTTTGTATCATCTGTCTTGTTTCTGTTATTCATGGAGGTTGTCTGCAGAACTGATGTTACCTACTTCTCTTTTGCATTTATATACTTTGTCCAAATTGCATGTATGTTCATAAAGCAGGGTTTTTTTTAAAGGTGGTTTAAACACAGTCTTGTGCATCACTGTGCTTTGTATGCTGCTGCTAAATGATCATTCCTGTACAGTATGTCTACAAACTTTTGCATTGGTTGTTTTTATACATAAATCTCCCCTTGGGCTGGCCCCCTCTTATTTATGTACATACAGCATCAGAGAGAGAAAGGGAGGGAAAGAAAGTGAAAGAGGTGTGGGATTAACCCATACACTACAGCAGAGTGCATTATATTGTGTTCCTGTTGTATTTTTATTTGCTTCCTTCACCTGTTGCCTTAGATTTGTGTTACTGCCTATTTACGTAGATGTGTTATTGCTGATCTGCTTTATATTTCACTTGTATTGTGTGGCATTCATGTGGACGGCAAAGTAAGAATTTCATTGTACAGGGAAACACATTTCCAAACTGTGCATATGACAAATGCTTTGACCTTTGACCTTACACAGTATTTTACAGCTGTTGGTCCCCAGAGTTAAAACAGAATTAACAAAAAGCTTTTAAATATCCAGCCCCTTCTTCTTGGAGTAATGTACAAAAGGACCTGAAATGATCAGAAGCGATCACTCTGGGGCAATTTAAGAACATTTTAAAGGCAGCTCTTGGTCAATGTGATTATTCGCTGTTTTAAAGTTGTACTTACTGCTTATGTATCTACGCTGTGTGGACTTTGACTTGATTTTTGTTACATAACTAGATTTAGTGTTTACTGTAGAATGAGGCAGTTGTATTTGATGATTTTTACTGCTTGTGTCTACTGTTACATCACAATGCCTTTGCTGCTGTCTTGGCCAGGTCACTCTTGAAAAAGAGAAAGGATAATCTTAATGAGGCTCCACGTGGATAAATAAAATAATCAGTAATTTGATAAGATAAGATTTCTGGTATGTTGGAAACTCCTTTTATTGTAATCAGGGAGGATGCCTTGAATTTGTTTCTAGTACACAGTACACTCTTCCTTATTATGGTAATAAAAAACATGGCGTCTGCATCATTCAACTCTTTGACTTAAGATACTGTTATCATTAAGGACTAGGGGAATTACAGTAATCACCAACAGGAAAACGAGGCATTGTTGAAGATCCAGCTCATTTGGTAATCATCTACAAAACCATCCATCCATCCATCCATCCATTTTCTTCCGCTTATCCGGGACCGGGTCGCTGGGGCAGCAGTCTAAGCAAAGATGCCCAAACTTCCCTCTCTCCAGACACTTCCTCCAGCTCCTCCGGGGGAATCCCGAGGCGAGAGACATAGTCCCTCCAGCGTGTCCTGGGTCTTCCCCGGGGCCTCCTCCCGGTGGGACATGCCCGTAACACCTCCCTAGGAAGGCGCCCAGGAGGCATCCAAAACAGACTTTTATTTATTTATTTTAATATGCAAAGCTTCTGATTGTTCAGGCTTATTGTTCAATTGTGAAAGCAGAATGTCCCAACAGCATATGCACAAGAAACGGACAAGTCTCTAACCAACGCATTGGTGAAATGTGATTTCTAAACCCTGAGGTTGACTAACAGCATTTCAGCCACTGCTGTTTATTTCTGCTTTTCCCCCACCTTGTTGAAAGGGGGAACTGGGCAGGCCTAGTGCAATTCTCTTGTGGACATTGCAAACACGGTGTCCTTACTGAAGTGTGACAGTTATAAGCAGAGAAACTGAACTCCCATTTAAACAAATAAGGAAAGCCCTTATCTGAGAAAAGAAAATCTATTTCCTTTACAGTGACTGTTACAGTAATATGGTGTTATATGCATATGGAGTTTCCTCCAACCTTTGTTCCTCATTTCATTATAGTGACCATTTTTATCTATGATAAACCTTTAGATACAGCAGCCACAGGGTTTCCCACGCAAACACACAGAATCATGCACACACAGTGTCAAAGTAAGCCTGTCTTTAACCATCTCCCTTCTTTGCTTTTCCTTGTTGCATAACTGTTTCCCACATGCAATTTACCTACAGTATAGTGCGACTAACAGCACTGATCTGATCTCCCAACCTGATACTGTTCAGTAATACCAATCAGTAGAAAAGCATGTGAATTTCTTCCTCTTCTTAAAGGCTTTTGCCAGTTTGTGTTGTAACACCACCGGCCAACAGCCACAGCATGGCAACATCAATAAACTTGTGAAGTAAAGAAAAACACAACTGCCTAAATCCTTTCCTCCACTGACAAAAACATAGACTAGACTTTATAAATAATTTGATATGATTAAAAAGGAGAGTGCGTATGGTTTACACAAAAAGCAGGCTTTTTGAAGAATGTCCAAAAACATAGACAAAATCATTTCTAAATTTGTCTGAGTACTAATAATATTTAAATAACAATAATAATGAATAATAAACCTGATACAGACAAGTGGCATATTAAAAGATAAACCTGATTAAATGAGTGGTCAGCGGCCCCCACCCATAGGGAGCGAGGGGGCACTGAATGGTATGATGAGTGACACTTGCAGGGTCAAGGTGCATTGAAGCAGCTCTGCAAGTGGCAGCCCAACACCTTACTGAGACACTTGATGTTGGTTTTTCTTTTATTCTATCACCTGCCTGTAGATTCACGCTAAAATATTTAAAAGCCAACTGCATATCCTGCTGCATTCAAGTCTAATATGACTGTTACCAGGAAAACCACAGCCACCAATGCCATTAATGTTTGTTAGGTTTTTATGGTTTTTATTAAATCCCAACAGCCCCATCATGTCAATAAATAACTACTTTAAAATGACTTCCTTCAGCACAGAGAGGACTAAGGAACTTCTCTGCCATGAAAGTAGGCGAGGCCCCGGGCCCCGGCACATAATATAAAGAAGGTGACACACACAGGGTCAGAATCCAGACAAACATCAAACTACATCTGAACGCTTCATAGACACAGGTAATGAAGATTCTTTTTTATTAATTGTGGTTAATAGAGTTTTTAATTTTTATTTATTTAATGCTACAGTGCTTAAGAAATAGTTTCCTTTTTGACAAATACAATTGACTTTGCTTTTATTCTGACTGTGGTTTGATTATTTTGTTTCAGAGATGCGTTTCTCTGTACTTCTTGTGCTTGGCATCTGCCTGATGCCTGCTCACTCCCAATCAAAAGGTAGACCGCGTCCTTCACATTGTGGACATGTCTAATTCCCATTTATAGTGGATGTTTTGTGTATGCGTGTGTAACGACTAAAATGCCAAATTTCTTTCTATAAATATTTTGCAGGAGAATATCTCGGCAGTCCTTTCCTTCAGCACTGTTTTAAGGAGGCAAAGAAAATTGTGGATGATGCGTACAAGTACTCCAGAGAGGAGTGAGTTAATCTCATTCATAATTTTAAACATTTTGATGTACATTTACACAGCTTTTACACAGACTTGAAGCAACATAATAAACATTTCATGACAGAAAAGGAGCAGAGGCAAGAAAATCTTATATTACAATACATGCCGCCTTCTCATGCAATCGATTACTTAGTCTGTGTACATTTTCGTGAAATGCAGAATATTTGAGCAATATTAAAGTATTCCCCAGAGAGAGAGAGCAAAGTATGTCTCCTGCTGTATTTAGTGCTGTAATGAGTGAAGAGTCACATATAAAAAAAGTTTTTTCTTCACAAACTAAAATAAAATCATTATATAATCTGTTACTGAATTGTGTAAATAACTATAAAATTACAAAACTATATTAATATGATTCATGTGCAAGTGTTTCTATGTTATATCTACATATCATCAGAGATACATGATTCTTGACAAATGGGAAACGGGCCATAAGTGATGGTGTTATCTCCAGGTGGGTGTTGGTCCAGTCCAAATCAAAAATCCTGGGTTCAGTTTAAATCCCATTTTGTCCCTGACAGTGACTCTGTAGCTCGGTAAAAGAGCACACTTTGGAGTTCATTGTTCTGCTATGTGGTTTTTCTCGTCCAGGAGCCTGAGGCGCGTCCGCAGGGAGGTGGTGAGCGCTCACGACGCCCTTCGTCTCCTGAAGCAGCCTCGTGGTGACACCCGCTCAGCTGTGAGGTCTGCAGACTACACGGCACAAACCCTACGTCTGCTGCAGGAGAGGGTGCATCGGGTGCACAAACGCTCGCTCAACGCAACAGGTGAGACATAAAGCACACGCACAGTGCTCGCATTCTTTTTGTGACAACCTTTCCTGGTTTCAGCTGAGGGACTGGGGTTTACTGTTACTTCAACGCTGCAATATTAAGGCATATAAAGCTGACACATACACACTGAATTCATGAAATGTGTATTTCACGTTTTTCAGATCTGCTCAGTAAAGAAGACTTGGAGAAGCTTGCCAGCTTAACTGGATGTGCAGCTCGAGTCAGCCGTCCACAGTGCCACACTGTGCCAAATGTTAACAAATATCGCACAGTCACCAGCCTCTGCAACAACGTGTAAGTAACTTTTCTTCTGTATTTGACCTCTGAACACCCCCGGCTGTATCAGGGCGTGGAAAACATCGATACACTTTACATGCAAACATTTTAATATAACATGAAACCTTAAGTTTAAGCCATTTTCCCAAGAAACTTGTTAAATGGGCACATTATAGCATGAGAAAACTTCTGCACTACTTTCGTACTTCTTGCTTGCAAATTAAGTTTTCCACCCATTCATCCAAGGCCTGGAGTGTGTGGTGCAGTTTGAATTAGTGAAAACTTTGCAGGAGACGGTTTCTATGGCAGGGTTTGTGAGGTTGAGCTGTGCTCACATTCAGAGGCAATGCTTGTGAAATACATCTAAACATCCTAGGTCACTAACCACGGAAGATGTGTTCACCTCACCTTTGATTTCTCAAGCACTGTTTCCAAACATGGTCGTTTCTTGTTTCCTTCTTTTAGAGAAAACCCTCGCCTCGGAGCCTCAAACACCCCCTTCACTCGCTGGCTGCCTTCCGAATATGATGACGACATCTCCCAACCAAAAGGCTGGAACAAAACCCGAAGATTCAACAACTTCCTCCTCCCACTGGTACAGCCTGGAGATCCCAGACATTCACTGTAATTAATATATAGTGTAATGATTTTAAATTACAGCTGCACAGCGTTCCTCTGCTCTCAGGTGAGACAGGTCTCAAACAACATCCTAAGCACAACAGACGCAGGGGTGATCAATGACAGCAATTTCACTCTCATGGTGACCTTTTTCGGCCAGTGGAACGACCACGATCTCACCTTCACGCCATTCTCCCCCAGCATCCGCTCCTTTAGCAACGGCCTGAACTGTGATGAGAGCTGCGAGCAAACTGAGCCATGCATCCCCATCCCGGTTGGTGTCAAATCCCCAGGTGATGTTTTCTGTAAAAGGTGCTCTCCGTAACCTTTTGCCTCCTTTTCTATAGATTCCTCCCGGTGACCCCCGCTTGCCCTCCCGCTGCATCCCTGCTTTCAGATCCGCTCCTGCTTGCGGAACAGGATACTCAGCCTACAATTTTGGCGGAGATCCCGTTAAGAGAGAGCAGATCAATTCCCTGACAGCCTTCCTGGATCTCAGCCAGGTGTATGGCTCCGAGGACAAGCTTGCCCTCTTTCTTCGTGATGTGGAAAGTGATGGCGGCCTGATGCGTGTGAATACAGAGTTCAAAGATAATGGACGTGAGCTGCTGCCCTTCCACCCTCTCCAGGTGCAAATGTGCGCCACTCGCAAAAGAATCACTAATGACACAAATGCCAAGGAGGTGCCCTGTTTTATTGCAGGTTAGTCGTCTTGGAAGTTACTTTATAAATTGTCAACCAATCATTTATCTCAGTAACAAGCCATATGAGTAGTAATAACAATTTGTTTTTACCACGTTACAAAAAGCTGTTGTATACCCTGCTTTAGCTTCTACCTGCTGTTTTAATCATCTCAAACCCCCTATTTAGCATTTATAAGCAGTACACAAACACTTAATAAGTGCTTTATGTAACACTAGAATATAGTTGTAAGTTATATGACATGTACAAAGTGTTCATTTTGAATAAACACATGACAATGATGTTTTTTCTGGTGAAAGCAATCAGCATATTAAAAGTAAATTAATGAAGCTAATTAAAAAGAAAATGATCATCCAGTATATTTAGCAACTCAAATGTTGTTCTTAATAGTGGCTTGTTACCGAGCTATAATAGTTTATAAATAGTTTATTAGCTAGTAATAAAGTTGTCCTGCAATGACTCAAATGAGGAAATGAGCTCATTTGTGCTGCATTACTGTTTGTAAGGTGATGCCCGTGTGGATGAGAACATTGCTCTGACCTCACTGCACACACTGTTTGTGCGTGAACATAACCGCCTGGCTCGAGCGCTGAAGAGAATAAACCCACAATGGGACAGTGAGACACTCTACCAAGAAGCCCGCAAGATCATGGGTGCTTACACGCAGGTAGCTAAACCTGAGAGTCAGTCAGCATTCATCACTGTGTATTTAATGCATGTGTCAAAACACTCAGTCTACAGTAAGTTTCTCTGTCTCTCTCAGTTGTTTGTGTTCAGGGACTATCTGCCACACATTGTGGGTGAAGAAGCCATGCGTAAACAGCTCGGCCGCTACCCTGGCTACGATGCCAACGTTGACCCCAGCATCTCCAACGTCTTTGCAACAGCAGCTTACCGCTTCGCCCACTTGACCATCCAGCCATTCCTGACCCGTCTGGATGCAAATAACAGGGAGCATCCTGAATTTCCCACTGTCCCCTTGTTCAAGGCCTTCTTCACCCCCTGGAGAGTCGTCTTTGAGGGTGAGGCATATAGAGATAACTGCAACAACTTTTCATTCTACCTTAAACCATCAGCCTCAGGGGTAGATCTAGAAAACTTTGGATGGGATGTCCAGGCTGGAGCACAGACTCAGAGAGGGGTGGCACATTTGAAATACATGTAAAAAGTAATTTGAACCCCTAGTTCTATGAAATAATAAACCATATGTTGTTAAGTATTGTTTATTTTGTGTAAAAATGAGACACATAGTGTTTTCTTTAACTAAGTTTTGCTAAACATTTGAAACATTCATTAATACTGACAAACATTAACACTGGTAGGGGTGGCACCAGGTGGCCAACCAAATTCTGAGGATGGCTGGTGCCACCCCTGGCCACCCCTTAGCTGCACCCATGTTCACCCTAATTTTTATTTTATCTCTGCAGGTGGCATTGACCCTCTCCTGCGTGGTTTGATAAATCGTCCCGCTAAGCTGAACACTCAGGATCACATGTTGGTGGACGCTTTGAGGGAAAGGCTGTTTCAGTTTGTGCAGCACGTGGCTTTGGACCTGGGCTCTCTCAACATGCAGAGGTCACGTGACCATGGCTTGCCTGGTACATCCCTCACTCTCATTTTCATTATTTAAAATTGCCCTGCTTGTGTTCCATCTCTTTCTTAGTTGTCCTCACTCTGTCTTTGGTTACTTTGTTTACTCCTCTAGGTTACAACGCCTGGCGCGGGTTCTGTGGCCTGTCCCAGCCCAGAAACCAGGCAGAGCTCGGACAGGTTCTGAACAACACCGAACTGGCCAGAAAACTTCTAGCACTCTATGGTACACCCAACAACATCGATGTCTGGTTGGGAGGCGTGGCAGAACCGTTTGTCAAGGGCGGCCGTGTGGGGCCTCTCTTTGCCTGCCTCATTGCAACCCAGTTTCAGAGAACTCGCCAGGGGGACAGGTCAGTATATGTGCAGATACATACAGAGGTGTATATTTATAGTCAGTGGATGGCATTTTGAAGGCATATGTTTACAAAGACAGAAAACAGGTACAGTCTTTTTTTATTCATTTCAGCCCAGATATTCACAGGACCTGGAGAAGGGGTGACAGAGTTGGGGGAGGTTTAATAGTGATCTCACCACTGACAGATGCAAAACACTTCTTTAACTTTGCCTTTTATAGCTGCTTTAAAATTAAAAGACATATTTAGTGTTCTCTGCAGCCTAGTGCAAAAAATATGAAACTTAGGAAGTTTAAACATTTGCTGGGTTGTGGTCAGAGGTTTTGATAATAGCTGTGCAGCATTAGAACTGCAGTTGGTCAAAGCTGCTGCCTTTCAGTCCTGCCAAACTTTAGATTATAATTTATATCAAATGCCTGCTTTAGGCTGATGAAGTCATCACAAAAATAAACTGAGTTCAGTCTCTGCAGACACTAATGTTGTCCTTTCCCCTCTTGTCTGGACTTCTCAGGCTGTGGTATGAGAAGCCAGGTGTCTTCACCACGAGACAGGTAGCTGCTCTGTCCGCTGCCAGCTTAGCCAAGATCATCTGCGACAACACCGGCATCACGTTTGTCCCCCTTGACGTCTTCAGCGTCAGCTCAGCTACAAATCGTTTCGTCCGCTGCAGCAACCTCCGACGCGTGGATCTGTTGGCCTGGAGGGACAGACCCAATCAATGCAATGGGTTCTTAGGTAAAACAACACTGGACCAAATGTTATGAACATGGGGAAGGCTCTCAGCACTAAATTTACATTGATCACCCACTGCATTTTTCATTCAGTGTTGAACCTATTTATTGTGTATTTGTTTCCTCCACAATTACTTGTTTGAAAATTGTTCCTCATATGTTGGTGTTTGATGTTGCAGGCCCGGGTGGTATCTGTTACAGAGCCAGTGCACTAGAGGTTGGTTTTACGCACTAGCAATGGTCACACTTTAAGAGCACAATGAAGCAGCACCTCCTTAAAACAATACACATTCAAATCATGCAAAACTTGTTGTTCTGAACTTGTTGTCATCTTGGTGAATGTGATCCTCGTTATATTAACACTGATGATTTATGATACAAGCACATCTTGAAAATTTCCATAAATTGTCAAACTAAATGTGTTTAATTTCTACATCTTCTTGATTTACAGGCTGAGAACCAACCAAACCAGTTTGACTACCAAGAACCTGAGAACAATAATGTAATCTATCCATCTGTTCATCCTTTATACATTCTATATACTGTAGTACTGAATGTCTCAAAAGCTCAAAATCTTTAATTAGTATCAAATTTAAACACATACCAGCAGCACTGTACAAAGAATGTGACACTTTAGCACAAAGAATATCCAGCTGAACTATGGGTACTCTGTTCCAGAGATATTTACACGTGTTGTTCTCACTAATGTTGTTGTAGCAGAGATCCAGATTCTAGATCCAAAAGATATAAACCTCGTGCTTTAAAATGTTTTATATTATCAGCCTAAAATAAGGAAAAGCAAGGCATGTTGTTTGCATAGCACCTCTGAATAGCAAGGCCATTTAAAGTGTGTACAAAGTTAAGGTATAAAACTAACACAAGGTAATAAACAGGAAATATCAATGTGATTTGAAAATCATTAAATATCAGGAAGCAGACTTGTCCTGGAAAATGTCAGTGGTCAGGATGGTTCATATTCTTACTGAAATATAGTAAAGAAGTAATCTATACTTTTGTTTCTCTTCAGATCCCAGAGGACCCCCTGGCCTGATAGCCCCGCCTGGACCACCAGCATTCAACGTCAGTGCCACACAGCCACAGTCTGTCAGCCCATCTTCAGCAAGAATCGTTTATGTTCATCTGGTTATCCACAACAAACAGAAACACTATGAGCATGCAGACGGGCCTGTTTACAATGGTTCGGCTTTCTCTGTACGTTGACCCGTGGCGTTACAGTAAGCTAGTGCTGTGAGGTTTCAGGTTTATCAGGGAGGTCATGGCTTGTTGTCAGGGGTCACGGTGCTCCAGCTGGAGACGGGAGACAAAGTGTGGCTGGAGGTCAGTGACAGGTCTGCTGGCGCCTTCTCAGGACGCCTGCTCTTCACTGTGTGATGCAAACACATCTTCTCTAACACACCAGTGATCTGTCTGCCTCAATGCTCAGTCTCTTTGCACTGAACTTTGCTTTCCATTAATCAGGCCCTAATAGTTATCTATTATTAGTGCTTTACTTTTTTCTTATTTGAATCAATGGGCCAGGCTACTGCAGTGCACACCACACAGCTGTACACATTTTACATTTTACTGAAACTTGAGCACATTTTCCAGGAAATGCTGTTACAATCCTGCTAGAGCAAAAATTCAACACTAGCCAATTTTTGCTCAGGCAGGATTGTAACAGCATTCCATGAAAGTGGAATTCACACATTTACTAGTATTATTATGAATATATTATGTACTGATCCAAGGCTTTTTGAACTGTAACTATTGTTGTATTTCACATGAATAAAAACTAAAATGCTTGCTGCAGAACTGTGTACATCAGGAATTTTTTCATGGGCACAAAATTTGATTTACTGCTATTAAATTCAAGCTTGTTTAGTATCTGAAGACACTGTAAAAATACTAGATAAAGGGAGTAATACACTACAGCTCACCTTAAGAAAACAGTTCACCTTGACTTTTATTACTTGACATTAAAATGCCATCACCTTTATAATTCCATTTTATGCACTGCACGTCCCCTGTAGATGGAGCTATTGTTTTTTTTTTTTTTTAAACAAAAGAGGGTGTGATAGATGAAGTAACTGGATGACATACACCTTGAAAGTGTAGCATTTGAAAAGATAATATTGTCCCACCAAAGTCACACTTGTCTTCTTTCCAACACTTTAATTACTTCTCAAAGGGCTATTCCGCTGATTTTCTATTGCTGAGGTACTCCTTTGAGTTCAACTCTTGCTGGGGACCAAAAGTTGATTTGCACTGATTTTGACCATTCTTTCTTTTATTTGTTTTTTCAGACCCACATCTATACACAAGTTATCAGTTTCAAGCTACATCAGGATTCAACTTAGCAAAATATTACTTATAACTGTTGTTGGGTGAAACATCTACGTACTCAGCATCTTTAAAATGTCATTTTATGTCTTGCCCTGGTTAAAAAGATATAAATATAAAAAAGCAGCCCACTTTAATGGCTGATGTTGAACCCTCATTCCTCCATATCTCATCTATCTTATGTTCACCACTGTGATGGTGTTGAAGTTATTGAGGGTTGCTGGAGACGAGAACCTACCCACCGTGAACTGGATGTGGGTGGGAGAACACATTGATATTTACACCTGTGGTTAGCAGTAGGTGGTGCAGTTAACAGTTAAGAGTAGGTGGTGTGGCAGGAGAGGGATGTACAGTAGTTGTGAGCTGATTATGAACTAAAATCTGCTATAATTCGTATTTTCATAATAACAATGGATCACATGACCAATTGTATGTGAAAGGTGTTGTTCATAGTGATGAATCCACAGAGGATTATCACCCAGCTCAACAATCCCCCGCAATGTTTTGATCCTCACAATTTCACTGTTTTTATTCACTCTCACCTTTCTCACAGCACTGTTTTCAGCAGCCACCGGCACCTGGTTTTAGTGAATGAACTCTAAAATACTCTGCACCAAACAGTAGACAGACAATGTTAACAACTACTGGTGAACATAATGCAACATTCAGCAGATATTGCAAGCCTGATATTTCCCTCAGGAATTGGTAGAGACCAAAAACAGAGCTAACAGCAGAGCAAATATTCAGCCCAGTCTCACATGAAAATGTAAAATAGCTACACTGGTCCATAGCATAAAACATAGTAGTGTCACAATAACAACTATAAAATTGTGAAATGTTTTTTTTTCTATTACAACCTTTGTGTTCTTCTTCTCTGTGTTTTATGATGGTTGGCAACTAAGAGGTGCATTACCACCACCAAGTGGACTAGAGTGTGGATTGGAAGCTAACACTTAGTGTCCTTGTTTTGAACTATAGAAAGTTAAAAACAGTCGGAGGGTGGTGGCTGGTGTGGATGGCTGGGTCCGGCAAACACCTGACTCTTCACTCAGACAACCAGAACCTTTCATTTAAGAATGTTTTAACCGAAGCCAGATTCTTTC